TTTTATATGTATGCAATAAATATATAGCTGTGATCTGATATGTATGAGGATTAAGTACACATAGAGAACAAAGACATTGTGTATGCCATCAGACTTAGGAGTAGTGTGCTAAAGGAGAGACTCTGAAATACCTAACTCTGGAAAATCTGAAACAATATTTATATCAAACCATTTCGTTAAAACAACCAACTGGCACAAAGACTTTTAAGTGCACATGGAGGTTCTGTGTTCTCCATAGCATTCCATTTATTGTTCTTTCTTTTTATGATATAGCCAGGATTTTTTTCTTTTACTTCCAGTCTTCTACTTTGCTACTGAGCCTGCCCTTATAATGCCGGGACCTTTCTGTTCCTTAATGTGTAAAATACCAGTAAAACTTTTCTGTTTCACCTTAGATCTTTTCATAACATGTAGGAAGAAGAGAACTGGTTTGGGAGTCACCAAAAATTTGTTTTTGGCCAGACTTATCTTCTTAATCTGTGATTGCAGCTGTGGTGTACCTGTTTCTTATGTGTGCCCTGACTGGGGATCGAACCCACAAGCTCGGCATATTGGGATGACGATGTAACCAACTGAATTACCTGGTCAGGGCTACCTCTCTTTCTAAGAGAGAGAGGGAGAGGGAGGGAGAGAGAGAATGAATGAGAGTATGTATCTGTGTGTCAATATAAAATTTTTCTAATATATTGGTGTAGGAGAGGGAGTAATTAAGGATAGTTTCTAGATTTATGGCTATAGAGCATGTAAGAGGGGCAATAGTTTTGAGGAGGGAACGAAAGTTTCAGCATGGACATGTTACCTTGAGGTTCTTGAGAGTCATTCATCAGGACAGAGAGAATAAATCTTTGGATACACAGATACACACACTCAAGTGAGATTTGGGCTAGAGATGTATTTTGTAACTGATGGGGAGCCTGCCATTTAGTTGGTGATTTCCAAGTATCTGTATCTCAAGATTGTTTCTTTTGGGTTAGTCTGTTTTCTCTGGCATCAAATTATAAATCTGGCATCAACTACATTAGTAGTTGAGCTTCTAATGCTTCCACATGCATACTTCCACTTAATTCCTTTTATTTTGTTTAGTTGAAGTATAATTGACATACAATATTATATTGGTTTCAGGTATATAACATCATGATTCAACATTAGCATTCATTGTGCAGTGATTACCACAATTAACCTAGTTATCTTCTATCACCATACAAAGTTAATAAAATATTATTGACCGTAGTCCCCATGCTATACATTACACCCTCATGACTTATTTTAAAACTGTAAGAACTTTGTACTTCTTTCACCTGTTTCTCCCATCCCTCTCCTTTGGCAGTCACCAGTCTGTTCTGGGTATCTGTAAGTCTGGTTTTGTTGTTTTGTTTTCTTTTTTAGATTCTAAATATAAGTGAAATCATAAAGTGTTTGTCTTTATTTGGCTCTTTCACTTAGTTACACTCAAGGTCCATCCATGTTGTTGCAAATGGCAAGATTCCATTCCTTTTTATGACTGAGTAGTATGTATAACACATCTTTTTATCCACCTATCCGTCTTTGGACACATAGGTTGTTTTCATATCTTGGCTGTTATAAATAATGTTGCAGTGAACATAGTGGTGCACATACCTTTTCAAATTAGAGTTTTCTTTTCTTTTTAAAGATTTATTTTTAGAGAGAGGGTAAGGGAAGGAGAAAGAGAGGGAGAGAAACATGATGTGTGAGAGGAACAATGATTGATTGTCTCTCTCACACCCCCAACTGGGGACCTGGCCTGCAACCCAGGCATGTGCCCTGACTGGGAATTGAACCGGCAACCTTTTGGTCTACAGGCCAGCATTCAGTCTACTGAGCCACACCAGCCAAGGCTCAGATTAGTGTTTACATTTTCTTTGGATAAATACTTAGGAGTGGAATTCCTGGGTCATATGGTAGTTCTTTTTTTTTTTTTTTTTTATCCTTACCCGAGGACATTTTTTAATTTTTTTTTTTTAGAGAGAGAGGAAGGGAGAGAGGGAAAAACATCAATGTGAGAGAGAAGTATCGATTGGGTGCCTCCTGTATGTTCCCAGACCAGGAATTGTGTGCTCCCAGACTGCAGATTGAACTCACAACCTAGGTATGTGCCCTGAGCAGGAATCGAACCCACAACCCTTTGGTTATGGGACAACACTCCAACCAACTGAGCTATACTGGCCAGGGTGGTAGTTCTAGTTTTAATTTTTTGAACAACCTTTACTGTTTTGTTTTTTTTTAGTAGTTGCACTAATTTGCATTCCCATCAACAGTGTACAAGGGTTCCTTTTTCTTCCCATCCTTGCCTGTGGTTCTCCTAGGCATAAGCCCTGTTGGTTTTTAAAGGCTGGCATGTTGGGGGCTTGTCTCCCCAGTGCAGTTTCCAAGGGTAGGGGTTCCTGATGTGGGGCACAGTACTATTGCTCTTCAGGAAGGAGTTCCATGTTTATGAGATTCCCTCCCACTGTGGTTTGCCATGCTGGGTGTGGGGTTTGGGGTGAGACCGTGTCTCTGCCACTCCTGCTAGTTTCAGTGTGGTCCTTTTACCCTTTATTGTGGAGGATCTTATCAACTAGTTGTAAGGTCTTTTTCAGAGGGACTCATTCCACATATAGCTGTAGATTTATTTTATCTGTGGGATGAGAGGAGTTCAGGATCTTCCTGCCATGTTAAACTGCCTCTTAATTCCTCCTCTTTTCAATGTGAACTCGCCTTTACCTTTTGCTCTACTTAATGTCTTTGGGTGTTTCTTTGGGTGTTTAGTTTTGGGCCAATCAGATTTCACACAAAAGTTTATTCTAATTTTCTGCCTGGAGAATATACAGTTGACTCTTGAACAGCACAGCAGTTAGGGGTGCTGACCCCCTGCCTAGCCAGAATTCTGCATGTAACTTTTAACTTTTTAAAAACTTAACTACTGCCCTGGCTGGCATAGCTCAGTAGATTGAGCGCAGGCTGTGAACCGAAGTGTCACAGGTTCGATTCCCAGTCAGGGTATGTGCCTGGGTTGCAGGCCATGACCCCCAGCAACTGCACATTGATGTGTTTCTCTCTCTCTCTCTATCTTCCTCCCTTCCCTCTCTAAAAATAAATAAATAAAATCTTTATTTAAAAAAAAAAAAACTACTGTTGACTGGAATCCTTACTGTTACAGGTTGTGGGAGAGAGACCCCAGTCAAGAGTCTCTCTACCCTGCCTTAGTTCTTGTTTTATCTGCAAGACAATAATTCAAGTGAGAGACAAGTATGTTTAGTGGAAATGAGATAGGAAGTTTAATAATACTCTTGAGCAAAAAGCTACAAGGGGGCACTTGACTAATCCAAGTGCCCCAGCTCTTTGGTTTCAGGGGGTATATACCTCAGCTGACTTCTAGATTCCCTGTCCTTCTCCCCACTTGACAATAAACTGCAGCTACTAAGGCTTTCTTTCTCAGTTAGCAAAGACTGTTTTTCTTAGTGAAGTTGTTATAGAAGCTTCCTTTCTCAGTCATAGAATCTCAAGGACTTATCCCCCCTTCCTGTACGATTCCTGCTTGTGGCTTGTGATGTTCAGGACACCCAACAATCTTATCAAACCAAGCTCAAGACTACTGAGGTTATTTGTGAGATGTGACTTCCTTTTGCTTCCAGCCTCTGGTATTAAGCTCTTGGTTAGATTATAATGGTGAGGTCCCTACCTTTATTTCTCCTCTGGCTGCTCATTCCTAGCTGCCACCTAATATTACCACTAACATAAACAGTCTTTTAACACACATTTTATATGTTACGCATATTATTACTGTATTCTTGCAATAAAGTAAGCTAGAGAAAAGCAAATGTTATTAAGAAAATCATAAGGAAGAAAAAATATATTTGCAGTATTTATTGAAAAAAATGTGTTTATAAGTGGGACTGTGAAGTTCAAATTTGCGTTGTTGGAGAGTCCAGCATTCTGGAGCCAGCTGGGTGAGAGAACTGAGAATCTCTATTTTCACTGTTTCCTTTGACTTCTGTGTACCATACCCATCCTCAGTTGTGCATGGTGCTGCACAGTGCACAGATTTTTCTCTTTTTATCCTCTTGCTTTGGGAAAGGAGGGATGTTTATTAGGCCGCATGGAGTTCGAAGTGCTTTTTAAACCAACTTTGAACTAGTACTCTTGTTTTTAACTAATGTCTTCCACCGCTTCCAGAGGAACTGGTACTTGGTACCTCTAGTTCTGGAGCCTTTGAGGAGTACTGCAGAGTAAATAGGGATGCTTCTTAACTTTCTCCACAGCCAGCTTAAGGTTTATTACCAAGAAAACAATTTCTATATCTGCTTTCCATATTTCATAAATGTGTTACTGTTGTGTATTAGTATAGTCTAAGTGTTTATTCCTTTAAAAGTTATTAATGTTTTTATGGGTTTCTGGAGGAATCCAAATATGGTTGTAATCTTTATCTGGAAAGTCTTCTGTTACCTCTTTATTATAATCACTGATAATTTTATCTGTTTTGTGAATTCCTCTGTCTTCAGTGCCTAGAATAGTGCTCAGGCCATAGAAGGAGCTTGGTAACTTTGATGGGCATGTACGTAATAGTGAGACCTCCCAGGAGGATTAAATATTCCACAGAATGGAATGGCCTAATAGGATTTGAAATGCCTTCAGTAGTGTTTGGAAGTTCTAAAATCTAATAAAGACAGAAGCCTTTACATTATAGTATAATACATTATATTATTTACTGATTGTTAAATGGTTATCAGTATATTCAAAGACATTAGCAGTATGATATGTTAATCTACATGCATGCTTGTATGTAAGTGTGCCAGAATCCATAGAAATTTTTTGTTTTGAATGAGTAAAAGGTTTGTCCAAACTGATTGATAATCTTTCTAATGAAACCCTTTGCTGCTGGTTCAGCATTTTTTCTAAAGTTTTAGTGTTTTAAGTTTTATTTTACTTTTTAAAGCAGTTTAGAGAATGTTGAAGATGTCTCAATTAACTAAAGCAAATTGTACTATACTTAATTTTTACAGTGATATATTTGATAATGCCTGGAATGGCAGAACTGGGATTCGCCAGACCAGACTATCAAGTGGCACCTCCTTGCTTGACAAAGATGGGATATTCGCTAATTCAGCTAGCAGCAAACTCTTGGAAAGAGCCCATGGAATTCTCACGTTAGTATTAATCAGTGATGTGAATTGTTTTTTATGACAGGGTTAAAATCTTAGGTGAAAAAAGAGGGAGTGATAGTGACATTATTTCTTTAGTAAAATTTTGAGTGAAACAAGATTCAAAAATACTTAGCATTTAGAGCTCTGAATCTTAGGCATTATTAAGCTGGTGGATGTTTGTTTTCATCTCACCAAGAGAATCATGGTTGAATATACTCATTATAGTAATGATTCTTTATTGCTCTTTAATGGACCCTATATCCAGAGAGAGAAAAAAGCATTAGCTCTTTTTAGGATTCCTCTCAATTCTGGCAGTCCTAATGAACTGGGCAGGAAAATTTCATATGAACTGGTGAATGGCACCATATATAGTGATATTTAACACTTACACAAGCCTGCTGTTCCTCATTGCATGACGGACCAACAAACACTTCTTAGTTACCTGTATCAACATATTTCAGATAATTCCAAAGCATGTTTTTGGACCACTAGCTAGAGGTGTGGCTGAATTGTATCCCTTAGTGCCTAAGTTATTGCTTCACAGTGTCCTAGACTCAGTTTATGTAAATCTTGTTGTACTTCAGAGTTGTAAATTAACTCATTTAATTCTCACAACTCTAAGAGAGCAGTTGGTGGTATTATCATCCTCATTTTACATTATCATGTAAGGAAACCAAGGCCTAGAGAGGTTAAAGTCATACCTTAGTAGGTGAGAAAGCTTATAGTCAAGCCTAGGTCTTTTGACTTTCCAGCCCATATTCATAGTATCAGCTTTTATTCCCTTTCTGTTGACATATTTTAAAAAAGACCTCAGTGTAAGTATGATTTTGAGTTATGAATAAGAAAAAATAGAACAGAAGAGAATTTTTAATTTCCAAAAGTAGAAAATAATAAGTTTTAGTGAAAAGTACATTTTAACATTCATGAAATTAAGCATTTATTTAAAGTCTTGAAGTGACAGAAACAAAACTTCTGTAGTCATAAGAAATTAGAGCCCTATTAATATCCTGAAGAAAATGAAGCCTTAGATTTGAATGTACAACATTATGTTATTGATCATTAGGTAAAAGCCTTTTTATACCTATATTTCAGAGCAAGCATCTCTTTGTTTGGTTCTCTTTTCCTTGCTTAACTTTCTTCCTAAAGGTGCCTGCTTAGTTGAATCAGACCGTGTTTTCATATAGATGATCTGTATCTTACAAATGGATATATAATCTGCTGTTTCAATAAAGACCTTGAAATCATCCATCTTTACAATAGTTTTTTGCTAATGTATAATTTATCTCTTTAGGAGAAACAAAAACTTCAAATTCAAGCCTGGCCTTCCAAAGGTAGGTATTAAGGAAAATCTTTTTTCCATTGGTGTTCTACTTCATAATTATTTTTTTATGACTCATGCAAAAATCTTTAGAAATAAAAGACAGGAAATGCCTTATTTATAACCAAAATAGGGACTGTGTGCATTTACTTAATTCCATTTTAGAAGTAAGACTGGATGTTATCAAAGGGCCAAAGTTAATGGTTCAGGTAGATATTTATTTGTGAGATATCCTATTTCCTAGTGTTTGAAAAGCTTCTGAATAAAATGTAATTTTTTGAGTAATTGCCTCTTTACATGAAATGTTTTTATTTCTCCTCAAGCCAGATTAAGATCAAGTTCTAAATTTTACTTGATTTTTAAATAATTTCTAATTAGTGCTTTTCTAATTCTTATCATTAGTAGTGGTTAGTTAGGTTTTTCTGTTAAGGTTCATTTAAGCTTAGAGGCTTATGGTCTTTGTTGGAACTACTTCCTTCGCTCTGCTATTGTAGCACAAATGCAGCTATACACAATACATAATCTAATGAGTGTGCCAGTATTCAAATAAAAATGTATGGACACTGAAGTTTGAAATTTGTATGATTTTTTACTTGCCACTAAATATTGTTTAAATTTTTTCTTTTTTAAATTTTTTATTTTATTTTATTTTTTTTTTTTAAATTTTATTTTAATCATTGTTTTGTTTTAATTTTTTCAACCATGTAAACCCTATAAAAAATAGTGGCCAGGATTTGGACCTCAGTCTATAATTTGCCTACTCTGATCTACATTGTTAAGGCAGAGATGGCATTCCCAAAATATTTACTGAATTTATTAAAGAAAGAAAAGTCCTCTTGTACCCTCCCAAAGAAGAAATGCTGCTTCTCTTAACCTTGTTAATGAATGTAATTTCAAAATTTTAAAAGAACTGGAAAGAGAGCTATTTATTCTTATGATTCCCTAGTTTAAGAAAAACAAAAAGGAATCTGCCTTTATTATTCCTTCTACCTGAGTTACCTTAGGTTTCCAAGAAAACTGAATGCACTGCTGATGTGGTTTCAGGTAGTGGTAAATATAGTTTTAAATGACAAAACACAGAGAAAATTTATGTAACTGGATTGTAATAATATTCTTATCGTGAAAATATTTTGTGTAGAGAAAAAGAGAGGAGATCGTATTTGTTCTTAAACATCTTTATCTGTTCATTTGTCCTTATTTTTCCTTCACTCTCTTTAGTGTTTTAGTATTTTGAATGCCACCTCTGGGCCTACTTGTTTGTATGGTTCTGTTCACTCTCCTCAAATGCAGAACTTCTCCTTAAACTTTATGTGATGGTCAACATGAGTATGTTGGATGCCTCTGAAATAAATAATTCTATTCAATCATCAATTGGAGGAATCACATCTGTTTCTCTCTCTTTTTAAATTAAATGCAGCTGATTTTTTATTTATTTTAGTATTTTATTGATGCAAGTGCATATATTTAATATTTGAGAGGCAACATAGCCTATGAGAGTATAGACTTTGGAGTCAAACTGATCTATATTCAAATTATGGATCTGTTACTTGCTCTGATTTTTGGAGTATTCTGACTTGTCTTAATCTCTGTAATGCAAGGGATAATATACATTAGGATTAGAGATATGTATTTGGTACATGCATGGTTAGCAGTCAAATAGTAAGTATTTCTTTGTATTTTCCATCAGAGCATTTAGAACTGAATTTATGGCTTATCTGTATACATACATATATGCACGATGTATGGTTTCTTTAGGAGCCACGTTCTTCATCTTACTTTTATACACTTATTTAAATATGCCTCATCTTTTCTAATTAATACATGGTTTGCTTGTTTCAGTTATTTCAGATCAAGGTAAGACAGATATATATTACTATAAATTAAAGTGGCAGATCTTATATCTTCATTGACTGTGGTCATTTGCTAAACAAGATATTTCTGTAACATAGTTTTATATATGCTCTGCAAAGAAGCAACAGAAGTAAAGATAACCTGAATTTTTTTTCTTTTGCTCTTTGGTGAAACCTGTAGCCTCTTTCATATCTAGCTATATGAAGCATTATTGCATGCATCAGTTCAACTTTTATAGCTACTGGAAATAAGATTCAGTCACCTGTATTCAGGGTACCTCTAGCACTTCCTTTTATTGACATGGGGGGATTTAGAGTGCTTTGTTTCTACTGCAATTCCAAACAATTAAATATAAGCAAATGTTTAACAAATACAACCTTCAACAGCCCTTAACCCTCAGTTAATATAGCTCTCTTTTGATAGTACTTTACTTTTTCTCTCTTAGAATTTATTCCACTCATACCTTGAAGCTGTCACTTCTATTGAATCTACTTTTCTAACGACCTGTCTTTTAATTTCCAATCTTTTGCTGACAGTTGCCCTGTTGTATATTTTTACTTTGATACCCTGCTCATCTCTCAAACTTGATCCCCAAGTGATTTTAGTGTGTCCCTTCCCTACTAAATCTTTAGTCACTCAGGCTCAAAACAAAGTTAATTTTAGTCCTCTTTAACACGAGCAGTATCTTCTTTTTAAAAATAATTTTAAAAATATTTTCAATTATAGTTAATATTCAAAATTATTTTAATTTCAACAGTATACAACATAGCTGTATAACTTAGTGATTTGATATTTATATATTTTACAAAATGGTCCCCCTGATAAGTCTAGGACCTGTCTGACACCATACCTAGCTATTATAGTGTTACTGACTATATTTCCTATGCTGCATTTTATGTCCTTGTGACTGCTTTTATAACTGGCAATTTGTGTATCTTATTCCCTTCTTTTTACCCATTCCCCCAGCCACCTTTTGGCAGCCATCAAAATGTTTCCTGTATGTAGAGCTTGTTTCTATTTTGTTTATTCACTTATTTTAGTTTTTATGATTTTACATATAAGTGAAATCCTATAGTATTCATCTTTCTCTGTCTAGATTTATTTCACCTAGCATAATACTCTGCAGGTCCATCCAAATTTTTGCATACAGCAAGATTTCATTTTTCTTTATGGCTGAGTAATATTTTATTTATGTATCACATCTTCTTTATCCACTTACCTATTGATGGGCACTTGTGTTGCTTCCATATGTTGGCTCTTGTAAATAATGTTTAATCTTTGTTTCTCTAACATCTTGCATAGCAAGCAGTAAATATTAGTTTGTTAAAAATGAGCTGATTAATTTAGTGGAACAAACTGAACAGTGAAGATGGAATTAAGAAAGGAATAAAGTAGGTAATGAACAGAAGACCTAAGAAAGCAATTAACTGTTTTCCTTTTCTGCTAGACCTCTGTTCCACAGTCCAGTTCATGGTTTTGTCACATCATGCCGGGCTATTGTAGCTGCCATGCAACTGGATTCATCTTTCTCTTGCCCTTTTAGCCTCCTGTCCTCCACCTTGTTCTATTTTGCCTTGTCTACCTCTTTTCTCTTTCCCTGTTTTGTCTTCTTCATAAGTCTTAATAACCTTCAAGTTATCATTCATTTTTTAATGTTTTTGTAGCCTGTTTCTCTGTACTTGAATGCACTGTGTTGCTGGTATATACTAAGAACAGAGCCTGATCTGCAGTAATTACTCTGAGTATTTGTGATTGATCTGATCATAGTGGTTTTATGGGCAGAAAACTGGTCTCCAGCTGCTGAGGAAACATTCCTCAAAATAATTAGTTGCTAGCCATTCATTCATTCAACAAAACTAATATTTGTTGAAAACCTATTCTGTATCAAACACTGTTCTAGGCATTAGGGGTACAGGGATGAACAGTCTGATCAGAGTCCTTGCTTTCCTTTAGTTATTTTCTAGAGGAAAGAAATGCAAGTAAGCAAATAAGTGAAAAGATAATTAGACGATATTATGTGCAAAGAGGAAAATTAAATGACCTGTTGATCTAGAGGTGGGCTATTACAGCCCAGGCTAGTGTGTCTCAGTTGGTTTTGTGTTATCCTGCAAACCAAAAGGTCTATGGGTTGATTGCTGGTCAGGGCACATACCTGGGTTGCAGATTTGGTCCCCAGTTGGAGCATGTACAGAAGGCAGCCAGTCGATGTTTTTCTCTCACAACAATGTTTCTCTCGTCTCTTTCTCTTTATCTTTCCTCCTCTCAAAAAAGAAATTAAAGGTGGGCTACTTTTTGGATGGTTAAGCAAGAACTTCATGAGAAAGTTCTGGACATTCAAGCTGTAAGTTAAATGCCAAGAAAAATCAAGCCATATAAAAAGATCTAGCTATAGAGTATTTTAAGCAAATGAAAAAGTTAGAAAGAATTTTATGTAATAATACAAGTGGTGTTTTTAAAAATACTTTTCCACTTAAACTTCTTGAAGGGAAGGACTTTTTAAAAAATAGTTATTTGTATTTTCCACTGTCAATGTGATGCTTTTCACATAGTGACAAATGTTAATTAATTTTACTATCACTTTAAATATGGTTTACAAAATGAAACCATTATTTCCAAGTTAAATGTGGTTTACAAAATGAAACCATTATTTCCAAGTTAACTCAATCTTGTGCTTCTCATATAGTAAAACTTTTACTACTTTTTCAATAACTATGTAAGTTGTACCTCTGTGTAGATATATATTTTTTTATTGACATACTCAGTGCCAGTGATTGGCTAAAAGCACTCCCATAAGAATTTCCATTAAAGATGGTGGCACAGGTAAACAGGGCTTGCCTCCTTGCACAGCAACATCAAAATTACAGCTAAACTGTAGAACAACCATCATTCAGAACTGTCAGAAAGTCAGCTGCATGGAAGTTCTACAACTATGGAATTAAAGAAGAAATCACATTGAGACTGGCAGGAGGGGTGTAGATGAAGAGTGGGTTGGTCCCACACTCATGTGTGGTGAATAAAAATCGATAGGGATATCTCAGAAGCAAGGGGTTCCCGCCCCACAACAGGCCACCCAGCCCAGGGTTCTAGTGAAGGGAGATAAGTTTCCACAACTTCTGGCTATAAAAACCAGTCAAAATTGTGGAAGACAGAAACTGCTGGACTCTCTGCCAGTTTCTCTTATAGGGCCTGCTCACAAATGTACTCGGTTTCACTTCTCCTGAGCTCCAGTGCTGGAGCAACAGATTGAAAGGCATCAGAAACATATGGGGAGAAACTGAATTGTCCTCCATCATGATGAGAGGTGAAGGGACAGCTTTCTCTCAGACAAAAGTGCTGGCAGAGGCCATTGTGCCTTTTCTGAGCCCTCCCCGCCCCCCACAGAGCCACAGAGCTGGCACCATATCTGAGATCCCATCAACCTGTCTCACACTCTTTGCCCTACCCAACATTCAGGCCTTCCAAAGCTGTTTCCAGTGGCTTTTCTATATGAATGGCTTGTCTCTGCCCACGATTCAGATTTTTCTAAATTCTCTTAACAAGCAACATCTAGCGTCAACATGGCCTGTACCTCCCTTTTAGATGCCCCAGGCTCGCAATTGTAGCACCCAGCCTTGGTTCACAGCTTGGCCTCTCTGGGGTACCTCTAAGCCCAGTACAAGTAGCAGCCATCTGCAGATTGCCTTGTAGCTAATTCTGCGTAATCCTGGACAGAACACAGGTGGTGGCTGACTTTGTATGTGCCAACGGCAATCAAGAGCCAACTGCAAGAGGAGGGTGTACGCAGCCCTCACAGTGGGTCCCACTTGAGGATCCATCTTGGGTAATAGGGGAGGCTGTGCCACTGGACCCAACAGAACACCTATTACATTAAGCAACTCTGTCAAGCCTGGGAGATGTAACAGTGCTACCTAATACATCAAACCATACACATGGAGGCTGCCAAAATGAGGAGACAGACATGGCTGCCCCAAATGAAAGAATAGAAAAAAACTCCAGAAAAGAACTAAACAAAATGGATACAAGCAGTCTGTCAGATGCAGAGTTCAAAACACTGGTTATAAGGATATTCAAGGAACTTAGTGAGGACCTCAGCATCATAAAAATGATCCAGTTAGAAACAAAAGATGCACTTATTAAAATAAAGAAAAATTTACAAGGAAGCAACAGTAGAGTGAATGAAGCCCAGAATCAAATTACAAATTTTGAACATAAGGGGGGCCAAAAACAACCAATCAGAACAACAAGAAAAAAGAATATTAAAAATTGAGGATAGTGAAGGGAAAATGTTGGACGACTTCAAGTGTTTCAACATTCATGTCATAGGGGTGCCAGAGAAGAGAAAGAGCAAAAATTGGAAACATATTTGAAAAAAATGATAGAAAACTTCCCTGATTTGGTGAAAGAAATAGACATGCAAATCCAGGACACAGAGAGTCCCAAACAAGATGGATCTGAAGAGGCCCACACCAAGACATCATAATTAACATGCCAAAGGTTGAAGACAAAGTAAGAATCTTAAAAGTAGCAAGAGAAAAGCAGTTAGTTATCTGCAAGGGAGCTCCCATAAGGCTGTCAGCTGATTTCTCTTGATTCACAGTCTGGCACTGAATCCACTGAGCCATTGATTTCTCAAAAGAAACTTTGCAAGCTAGAAGGGATTGCCAAGAAATATTGAAAGTGATGAAAAGCAAGGACCTACAACCAAGATTAACCTACTCAGCAAAGCTATCATGTAGAATCTAAGGAAAGATAAAGAGATTCCCAGACCATAAAAAGCTAAAGGAGTTCATCATCAATAAACCATTATTATATGAAATATTAAAGGGTCTTCTTTAAGAAGTTCAAATTTTGAACAATAAAATGGCAAAAATACATATCTAACAGCAACTGAATCTTAAAAAAAAAACAAAATAAGCAGAACAGAAACAAAATCATAGATTATTTTGATGGTTGTCAGATGGGAGGGGGTCAGGGTGATGGGCAAAAGTGGTGAAGGGATTAAAGAAGTGCAAATTGTTAGTTACAGAATAGTAATGGGGTTGTAAAGTACAGCATAGGGAATAGAGTAGCCAAAGTACATATATGTAGGACCCATGGGTGTGGGGATTGTCTGAGGGAGTGTGTGTGGGGGGGGGGGGTTGCTGGGTGGAGGTGGATGAAGGAGGAAAATTTGGGTAAAGTATAATAGCATAAACAATAAAATAGAATTTTTAAAAAGCTGCCACATACTTTATTAATATTTTACATTCTTTAGTTGCTTCATGTGTAACTTTTGTCTTATTATTAAGATTATTACCACATCAGGATGAGGGTTGATAGGGACTGTATTTTCTCTTTCTGTGTTTATGGCATATCTGATATAGCCCTGGGAGTGAATTTAATTTGTCTCCATGAGTTAGGATTCAGTTACAGATAACAGTAGTTACTGTAGATATTTTTATGTAGAAAGGGACTTAATTCAGAGAGGTGCTTACAAATCATTACAAGTGTTAGAGTTTCAGAGTATTAAAATAACAATGCAGAACTGATTAGAGTTATAATCAGAAAGTTGTAGGTGCTGATTCCAGGTTACTTCAGGATTCAGGTTGAAGCTGCTGCAACTGTTGGCCCTACGGCTGAACTGCCTTTAGTCGAGTAGCAGTGACAGCACAAACGCCCTGCACTCTGCCTCTGAGCACTCAAGAAGGTAGTATTTGGATAGAAAACTAGCCCACAAGTGAAGTACTTTTGTTTACATGCTTGTCAGCAGAAACAGAAGCTACTGGCCAAAACCTCTGCCTCATTATACCTTCCCAGGTTTGTGTGTGGGAATTTAATTGATAAACTTAAATCACTTCCAGAGCCTGAGGTTCTAGAGAGTTTGGGGAAAGTAGTTTTCTTTTTAGATGGAGAGCTTCTGCAGGAAAGCGGAAGGAGGGTAGATTGGATGTTGAATATCAATCTCCCATATTTACTGCAGTCATCACACATAGGAAATAATGAAAACTGGCTTACAGTTTTGTTTTTCCTATTCCTAGTTTAATTTATGTGAAGAATTTGGTTTTCCCACTCTTTTTTTCAGCACTTGCTAGAGGTAAATTCTTTAAAGCACCTGACAAGACTGACCCTGCAGGATCGAATTACCAAGTCGCTTCTTCATTTGCACAAGAAGAAGAAACCTCCCAGCATCAGTGCTCAGTTTCAGGTTATTTCCTATTTTACTTTTAACAAAGAAGAATCTCTTTCGTTCAGATTGACATTGAAAGGTCAAAATGATTGGCAAGATACCTGAATGGGACAGGATTCATCTGACTAAAAGCCGTAGTCATTTTGCTTTTCAGAAATAAACCTATTTTTGTGTATACCACTCATTTTTGCATATTTTGACAACATTGTTTACATTTATAAATTGTTACCAGTTTGGAATGGAAGAAAATGCTCATTATATTGCTTTGTATCGCAGGCCTCATTAAACAAGCTGATGGAGACACTTGGTCAAGCAGAACCATATTTTGTAAAATGCATTCGCTCTAACGCAGAAAAGGTAAAAATGTCCTGTAAATTAGAGCTTCTCAGCTTACTTCAAACAAAGCTTTAGATTCTTCCTAAGGAGAGTAAGTGGACAGGAAGAGTTAATCTATAATCTTTTTTAGGGAAACAGTATTTTACATTTTCTATGGATATTTTATTGTTGATTTAGCATCTATTAGAATTTGAGAAGCAAATACCTCTTGAAATTCCATCATAAAAAAAGAGTTTTATAGAACTTTTGTTACCCTGAGATTAATTCCTCTTGTTTATATATACACTGTCACTCCTAAAGAACTTGCTTGTCATTTTTCATGTGGATAGATTCTTAGCTTTATAAAATAGGGAAGATGCTATGGATATTCTTGATTCTTCCTGTTTTCTATGACAGTTCCCCTAGAGATTTGCAGAATATAGCTAATAAGTAAATATTTGTCATCTTTCTTTATGTTCATCATAGGAAAATAGTTCCTAGCCTGAGCAGGTAAAATGTGTAGAAATCATGTTCAGCTTTCTAAATTCTTAAGAAGCAGTCTCCAACTCTGCTGTCTATAAGCTTTGTGACTTTAGACAAGTTAACCTTTCTGGAGCTTAAATATTTTCATTCATTTAAGATCATACATGTTTATGGGACCTTATAATGTTTTGTGAGTATATATGAGCTAATACCTGTAGCATACATAGCATGTTTATAGCCCATGCTAAGTGATTAGTAAATGTAGCTATTCTTTTAAATGACTAAAAGGAAACCATTTTATTTATAGTTAAAAAGAAGTTTGAGTCCCTATTATTAATTGAGACCTATACAAAGAGTTCAATTAATGAAGTATTTCAGAGTACAGAATAAACAATAAATAAATATCAACTATTATTATTATTTAACATAAGGGGTTAAAGTTGCCCGTTAACATTTTTTCCTTGACAGCCAGCTGGTATGCCCCATCTGTTTGCAGAAAAATGTTTGGTATTGCCTTAGGGAATCATTGAAAATAGTATTTAGAGTAAATAGGGAGAAATATCTGAAGCTCCAGATACATCTTGTTTTGGATGTCTGCAAACATGCCTACTGAGATACCTAGGAATGACTGGGTATTGTGACTGGTGAGGAGTGACTATCTCCCATTAGCTTTTCCCTCTCAATGCCTATACAATGAAACCATCGGTTGTCAGGGACCATAGGAATTTTTTGTTTTTCAAAAAATGGCCCCTGTTTTTCTTGTGTCCTACCAGTATCATCAGCAGACAGTATTTAGGTAAATAACCTACTCTTAACCTTGTACTAGTCATTAAAAGAAGAATCTGGCAGCTCTCAGTTTACTAAGGCATCTGGTAAAATGGAGCAGGTGGTTTCTGAGTGAGATTAGAGATAAAATTGTAACTAAAAACAAAAATATGGACACTCTTGACCACATATAAGTAGGCTAGTCTTGTTACTTATTTTATAGTGACTACTATGTGGCCTTCTTGTTGGGCAGCTACATTCCACTTGAGCTTTGAAGGTTCTTTCCCTCTATAATTAGAGAAGCCTGAAAACCTGGTTTCTCTTTTTTCCCCCAGGGTCAGACAGTCAGATCTTTTCTGAAGCTACCCACTGGGGAAGTAAGATTGTCCTGTCATCTCTGCTATATCTTAGCCAGACAGCCTTCAGTCAATTCCTACATAGTCAAAAGTTAATTATACTTACAAGACAAACATTAATTTGGAGATCTGTTCTTCTTGGTTAATTTTTTTTTCTGTATGCTTTATTTTAGCTGCCATTAAGGTTCAATGATGCCTTGGTACTTAGACAGCTTCGGTATACTGGGATGCTGGAGACAGTTCGAATTCGCCAGTCAGGATATAGCTGTAAATACTCCTTCCAGGTATACTTTTATATTGATCTTTAAATATATATATGCACATCAGGTAAATTATTCCTGTCTTATATTCTGTTTGGGGCTCACTTTTTATTTGTCTTAATTCTTCCTTTCATCCCATCTTTTGGATATAGAGTTAGAGAGGTAGAGAGTACTCATTTCCATTGAATGGCACCAGTCTCATTAAGTTTGTGTTGTAATAGTATCTCGTACTTGGCTATTCTCATTTGATCTGAATGTTTCCTAATAATAAATTTACTCATCACATAGCAATTCTTCACACTAATTATTTCAATAATTGAAATAGTTCAATCAGAACTGTCTAATTCAAAAGAAATCATTCCATTTGGCTTTTCACTCAAGTTTTCTTAGCAAGATTTTCTTTTATAGGAAGCTGCCAGCAAGGCTCATAGTTCTTCTCATGAGTACTGCTGCTATGGGTATAGAAATTATATTGAAGCTTTTCAGCAGCTGAGCAAGTCTTTGAAATTGTTACTAAGAGGGGAAGTCTCATTCTCAGTTATATCCTGTAATGACTGCCTCCTTTGCTTATTTTTTCTGCTAAAAATTTCTGATTCTTGTTAAATAACTTTTTCTTTGGTTTTTAATACAGCTTTCTCAAGAGCAATGATTAGTTTCTACCTCTCTTTTCTTCTCCTATTCCCTTTTGATAACAAGATACTATGTAGAACTCACTATCCCCCTCCCCATTTTATAAATTAACCTTTTGTAATATTTTGAGTTAACAAGTACTTCCTTGGTTTCACCCTATGTCAAAGAATGAGGAAAGGATTAATAAAAGGATCATTAGCTAACATTTAGGATCTTGTTTATATATAATGCTCTTTGACTTTATAACATTTTCTTTTCATTTTTCAGGATTTTGTGAGCCACTTCCATGTTCTTCTTCCTCGAAATATTATTCCATCCAAATTTAACATTCAGGATTTCTTCAGGAAAACAAATATTAATCCAGACAATTATCAAGTTGGAAAATCCATGGTGAATATATATACAGCCCTTGTCTAAATTGAATGTATTTTTGTATTTAAATAATAATGACAATCTGCCTATCAGAACAGTTTATAAAAATATAGTGTACCAGATGTCATAAGAAAAAATAATATAATCAGTATTAAAGAGCTTCTGGTGAATTCTCTAGTTCTACCTAAATTTTTAACTGTTTAAAAACCATCTCTCCCTACTTCTATTTGCCCAAAGTTACCTTTTCCTGATTTACCTGCTTTCCTTAATTTGTCACTTACTCTTTCTGTCATCCTTTTTCTAGTTTCTTAGGCTAGAAACCATATTTGGCTTAACCTTCACTTTAATTCTTTTACAAAGTTCTGGGGTTTTGGGGTTTTTTCCCCCTTACAAATGATTACCACATCTCTCCTTTTCTTCACTGACACTTCTTCCATATTAGTTCTGTTTGTTTACCTCTCACTTATATTTCTCTTACAGTAAACAGATTTCTCATCTGGTTCCAGTCTATTTGTTATTCTATTGAACTCACTCTACCCATTGTATCAAAATCATCATCTTAATATACTTCTTTCTTTATGTTGGTTTCCTGCTCAATAATAATCCCTAGATAACCTCATTAAATTCAAATATCTTTTTCTTTTTCAAGAATCTCCATATTGTAATTTTAAACTATTTAATATCTTCATTGTGAAGATTAAGTGTTTCATTGTCTCCTGTATGTGCTTTTATCGTTATTTTTAACTCCTTGTTTTGCTCAGGTGGGGTCCTCTGTCTCTTATCCTTATTAGTTTGCTGTTTTCCTCTTTGGGTATCTAATATCTGTGTGCTCTTTTTAAAAATATTTTATTTTTGACAAAAATGATAGGTAATAGGTTAATTAGTTTGATTGTGGTAATCATTTCACAATGTATACATACATAAAAACATCATACTATATACCTTCACCCTACTCCAACATCCTTGAAAAATATGACATACTACCAGTAGTACATTGGCTTATGATGGTGGTGAATTTCCCACAGGAATAATGTATCCTAATCTCTGACACAGGGATTTTTGTATACATGTGTACCTTAGCATATTGCCTTCTATATTCTAATGTCTTCTTTCATTTTGAGAATGACTGCTTTGGATAAATTGATAGAAATATTTATCAGTACTGCTTTTACACATCTGACACTGTATTTGTTCTTTTCTAAAAATGCTTATCACAGAAGGGATGATTCATGAAATAAATTTCTCATTTTTTAAAAATATTTGTTTTTATTAATTGATTTTAGAGAGGGGGAACGAAGTGACAGAGGGAGAGACAGAGAGAGAAACATCAACTTGTTATTCCACTTACATAAGGCATTCATTGGTTGCTTCTTGTATGTGCCCTGACTGGGGATCAAACCTGCAACCTTGACACATCTAAATGGTACTCTAACCAACTGAGTTACTTGGCCAGGGCTTATTCTTAAATTGTATTTTTCATCTTCTTCCTCCTGGTAGGTGTTCCTGAAGGAGCAGGAACGACAGCACCTACAAGATCTACTTCACCAAGAGGTGCTCCACAGAATCATACTGTTGCAACGATGGTTTAGGGTCTTGCTCTGCAGGCAGCATTTCCTCCAACTGAAACAAGCATCAGTTATCATCCAGGTGAGAGGCAAAGGATTCCTTGCATAAGATTGGCTAGTTTATTTGGCCCTTTTTTTCCCCCCGGTAATCAGAACTATTTTACTATGAAATAAGAATGTAAACTTCTTCAGAGATATGAGTGTCCTATTCATTTTTGAAATGCTGATAGCACTGAAAAGATTATCTGGCTTATGATAATAAACTATAATAAATATCAATGCAGTTGAATTTAAATTAAATCAAATTTATAGTTATAATGGCTTTTGAGGTATGATTAGCTAGGGGCAAAGGAATATTTGCCTTAATTTTTGTTGACATAGTTATATTTAATAGTTTTCTGAATGCTATTTGAGAGTTATACTTACATTGCTGTTATATACTCATCTTGTTCTACAGGTACCTTATTTTATATTTAACTGTTTTATTTTCTCCATCATCAATTTATATGATAGCTATTTCTATAGGACTTTTTGTGTTTGTACAAGAAAATCTTTAATATCTTAATTTCTGTAATGTACATATGTTGACCGTAAACCTGATTAATATCAGCAAGCTGTAGTATAAGAATAATTTGTAATTTGTTAAAGTTAATTTGTAGGGCATGAAAGCATCAAAAATTTTAAGTTATTCTATAATTAACTTTATTGAGGTTATATTATCTAAAATATTTGTTTTAACCAAGCATATCAAGAAGAATTTTTTAATCACCCACTATTTAGCCACTTACCTTTTAATTAAGACTTAAGAACTTTATCCTTTTTTCCTTGTTCTGTGAAAATGTGGTATAAGATATGACAAGTTTTTGTTACTACTTTGTCTTTACTGTAGCGATTCTGGAGAAATTACCTAAATCAGAAGCAAGTCATCAGAGATGCAGCTGTGCAAAAAGATGCTTTAGTTATAGCTAATGCAGCTACTCTCCTCCAAGCTTCTTGGCGTGCTCACTTAGAGAGGCAGCGATATTTGGAGCTCCGGACTGCAGTCATCATCATCCAGCAGAGATGGAGGGAGCACTACAGGCGGAAGCAAAGAGCTGCTATTTGTATACAGGCACAATGGAAAGGCTATAGGGAAAGTAAGAGGTATCACGAGCAAAGGAACAAAATTATCCATTTGCAGTCAATATGTAGAGGATTCAGAGCAAGACAGAGGTAATCTTTGTTGTTATAATAATTCTCTCTGCTGAAATATATGTTGTTTATACCTCTTCTCTAATACTTGCCTAACTTGCATTAGAACTGGTTACATGCAATGTGTCTTTTCTACTAAACTGTGATACTCCTAATAATTTTAACCTGCATTGTGTGGGATATAATGGAAGCTAAATAAGTGTTTATTGAGTTAAATTGGATTGAAAACCTGTGGTCTACAGTTATAACTGCTAAGAGTTAACTTTTACATTAGGTTGAGTCGTTAAAAATTGGCAGTATTCAACTGTTTTTACTTTTAGAAACTAATTTTATTTTTAAGGCTTACCTTAAAATAAGGATATTATTAAATGAGAGCTTTACTTATGATTTTATTTTTTTTAGTAGAATGCCCAAGTAGGAATAATTCACTTAATGAAATATAATCTCACTTATGGGAACAGAATTATGAAATGTGCAACCAAGTTAATTTGAGAAATACTTAGATGTAAGAAAAAAATTTTGAGACTATTCTCTCCAGTGGTAACCAAGTCATAGATCTAATGTACTTCTTTTTAATTTTTATATAGATTTAAAGCTTTAAAAGAACAAAGACTGAAAGAAGCAAAAATAGATCTTGGATTGATAAATATTGAGCCATATGGTTCTGTGAAAATTCATGGTTCAGACCCTTCAGAATGGGAGGATTGTTCCTTCGACAACAGAGTAAAAGCCATAGAAGAATGTAAATCTGTGACAGAGAGCAATCAAAATAATTCAGTTGATTGCTGGAAGGAGTCCCCAAACAAGCGACAGGAGAGAGCCAGAAGCCAAAGTGGTGTGGACTTGCAGGAAGATGTAATTGTAAGAGAGAGACCCAAGTCTTTGGAGGATCTCCACCAGAAAAAAGTAGGACGTGCCAAAAGAGAAAGTCGGAGAATGAGAGAACTAGAACAAGCTATATTTAGCTTAGAATTGCTGAAAGTCCGTTCTCTTGGTGGTGTGTCTCCTTCAGAAGAACGCAGATGGTCTACGGAATTGATGCCCGAGGGTCTTCAGTCCCTTCAGGGTACACCTGATAGTGAAAGCTCTCAAGGAAGCTTGGAACTTCTGAGCTGTGAGGAAAGCCAAAAGTGCAAACTAGAGTCCGTAATTTTAGATGAAGGAGACTTGCAGTTTCTATCACCTGAGATATCTAGTAGTAAAAAATTTGATTCACAGGACAATGCCCTCAGTGCATCAAGTGAGACTAATTGTACCTTGATTCAAAAGGGCGCACCCTCTGAATCAGTGCATTTGAAGAATGGGACTATGAAGGAAAAACTGGTTTGCAGTTCTGAATCTATTACCTATAAGCCACCCCTGAGAGACCCCTTTATTTCCAGTAGTCTGCCTACATTTTTTTATATTCCTCAACAAGACCCACTGAAAACAAGTTCCCAACTAGACACAAGTATTCAGAGAAACAAACTAATAGAAAGTGAAGAAACACTTCCAGTTCTTACTTTAGATATCAACAGGGAAGCCAGAAAGTATCACTTCTCAGGAGAAAATCAAGTTGTTGCTTCTTGGAATACAGATTCTTCTAATACTGTGCTTAAAAGGTTGGAAAAGCTCAACACTGAGAAGGAAAAAAGGCAAAAGCAATTGCAGCAACAGAATGAAAAAGAAATGATGGAACAGATTCGCCAGCAAACAGATATTTTAGAGAAGGAGCGTAAAGCTTTCAAGACAATTGAAAAACCAAGAATTGGGGAGTCTTTCCCAGTATCATATTCCCATCAATCAAAGCAAAGAGTAGAAAGGCCATCCTCTCTCCTCATCCTGAATACCCCAAATAAGGAAGAACTCGATGTACGAGGGCCTCCATCAATAACTGTAAAAGATGCAGCTCTTGCCCCAAAAGACAGTTCCTCTGCTCACTTACCCATGCGAGATCAAACCGTCTTCCTGTGCTTTGAAAGAAAAGGAGGCCCATGTCAATCTAGTACTGTCGATGAATTGTCCAAGACAGACAGAAGGTGCACCCAACTGAATGTAGCCTGTAACCTCTCTAATAATCGCGTTTCAAAAAAAGGACAGTTTAGGCCAACTCAGGCTTATGGCCACAAATCTAATGACCCTCCCAGAGATGGAACTACTAGGGCCATTTTCTACACACCAAAGGAAAATATGAGTATTCCTCTGTAAGTGAAATGTTTATTGTTTTTTATGTATAAATGGGAAACCTTTTGGAGAATTTTATAGGCATATCTCAAAGATGTTGAGGGTTCAGTTCCAGACCACTGCAGCAAAGTTAGTATCACAATAAAGTGAGTCATAATCTCTTTTCTGATAAAAAGTCATACTTTAATTTTAAAAATTGCGTGTATTAAGGTGCCTTGATCAGCCTCAACTCTTTGTATGGGTGCTACTAAAATTAGCCATATTCTCTGCGTGAAAAATTTTCATAATTGTTGACTCTCCCAGCCACTTTAATTGGGTATAATTATACCCTAAGAATTGACTAAGCACAGATAGCAATTTTTGGTTCCTTCCCATTAAGTGAGAAGGGTAATACAGTGCCAGTAAACATAGGAGGTTTCAGGAAATGCTGGTTGCCCTACAGCTGTTACATGAAGCAGTTAGTTTCAGGCTTTAAAGTTAATGTACTTCATTACAGCTGATGGTCTATTTTTGTACTTTATTAAGTTAGTTATACTTTTTTGTTGTAAAAAACATAATTTAACATTTTAAATGTATGGTATAGTAGTGTTAATTATATGCACATTGTTGTGTAACAGATCTCTAGAACTTTTTCATTTTGCAAAAACAAACTCAATTACCCATTATACAACTCCCCTTTTTTCCTTTACCCCAAACCCCTACAAACCACAGCTCTCCTTTCTGTTTCTAAGAGTTTGACTATATTAGATACCTCATATAAGTGGAAAATCTTTATATTCTTCAATTTTATTAACTAGGTATAGCCACAAGAAAAACTTTTGTTGTTTTTCTACTTTTTTTATTATTGTTCAAGTATAGTTGTCTCCATTTTAAGAAAAGAATTTCTTAAGTAGTACATAAAATATTTGATAAAGTTTAAGATATTTGTATTAAGTCTTTGTATACAGTGGATTCTTTCAGTTCTTGTGGGAGAATATCACTTTAAATGAAAGGTGAGGGCTATATTTTAGGGCTAAAACTTAAACTTCATATTAACTATGAAATAACTTCTTTCTCCTATCTCTTAAGTTTTTAATCTTTCTGTCTTTAAAACTGTATACAGATATTATAGAAACCCTTTGTAAATGTGGGCAAGATATCATTCATTTTTTTTTCCACTAACGATTTCTATACAGTATTATGAAACATAGTTGGACTAAATTCTAGATTGAGGTCCTATTTCTGCCCAATAGCCTAGAGATTACCCAGAAGTTCAAAGACTGTATCGCTTTATAAGCCCTTCAGAGTATTAAAAACATATTATTTCCTGTCACTTTGATTAAGTTTAGTGATGTACAATGTATGTGTGTTTGTGTAGAGTTGTTGGATCCATGAGTCTGCTTTATAGAAGTCTTAGTTGTACATTTCAAAGTACATTAATCATCCTTGTGAATTGCTTTTTTAAATCAATTTTTCAGGATAATCAAGTTTACTTGATTTAGTGTGCTTTACCTCATTAGGATCTGTTTATCTTCAAAATGATTATATATTAGATTGTTTATGTGAAAGCTTAAGTAAAATTCATGCTTCAAGTCTTTTCTCATTCTGTAAGTACTACTAGAAACTTTAGCATTTTATAGAATTATAAATGTTGGTGTTCCTAATTTTATCTAGTCCCATCCTTACATATTAGAAATAATCTCATAGGCTCCCCTAGAGGTGAAATGATTTGTTTAAGGTCACATTAAATAGGTAGGTCTAGAACCTGAGTTCATCATTAGGAATCAGCATTGGGTTTCATGATTAGGAAGTATCACCAGGTTAGCATTCTTTCTGTGCCATAGTGGTGATAAGTCTGTAGTTATCTTCATCTGGTTCATGAGGGAGAACAAAAAGAAATGCAGAGATCTAAAGAAAATACTGTGAGTTTAAAAGTTAGGGTGGTCAGGTGCTATCAAAGGTCCTACTAGTTGTTTCTCTTTTTGGAGAGCAAATCAAAGGCCAATAGGCTCAACTGTGGCAGGAGAGATTTTAATGGCCTACAGGGAATCTTTTAGGACAAACTAGGATTTCTGGGCTTGATCATACACTAGTCAAAAAGGTAGATCTCTGAAATGCCATCAGCAAGGAAAGATTGCCGTTTCTTTAGGTTTTTTTAGGCATTATTACATAGGGCAGAAGACAAGGTTAACCTCTTAGAGCCCTTAGTTCTTTGTTTATAAAATTAAATGGAAGATTTTGAGTGGTAGAGCAATTAGTCTGCCAGCTCATATTCTAAGTTAGTGTCTGCTTTAAACTTAGCACTATGCTAGAAGGTAAGATACGATTCTCAATGAGCTTATAGTCCTGCTAAGAAGAGATTAGCAATATGTTGTTGGTAAATTTTAAGACTTGTAGCACCGAGTTAACATAGGTAATTGGGGCCGTGAGAATGTAGGTTCTATTCAGATTTTCCTCAGACACTGACATCCATTTCTACACCGAATGTAATGATAAAACAGTCACATCATGTGGTCATTCAAGCAAAATTAAATTTTCACAGACTAACACTATACCATCTTTATGGCTTGGGGCACACTTCTTTTAGCTTGATAACAACTTCTATACTGCTAGTGTTAATTTTATTCTGTACAATCTCAAGTTTTAAAGCAAAGATAGCAGATGAAAGCTACAGAGAGATTTCAGAAAGAAAATTTGCTAACCAGTAGGAATCATCTCTATAAAGTAATGAGGTCCTTATCACTAGGTGGCTACTTACCAGGTACTTTATAATGATTAGAGTAAAAGGCCATTCTAGGTCTAATTCTAAGGATTTGGGGATTTGGTACTTTCCCTTTCTCATCATTAAATCCATATCATTTCATGAACTAATTTTGCTGCTACTATTATTCAACATATGTCATCATAGTGGAATATGCCCAGTGGTTACCAGGGCAGGGTCTCTAGTAATTCATTCATACATGTAAATTCTTGGTAATAATATCAATTAGGTAAGCAGAAAGTTTGGGGGGGGGTATTATTTTAGGAATTGAGTAAGTTCTGGATATATGTGTGGAATTGGCTGGAATTCTTTGACCTAGCTTGTTAAACTATATTTCATGCTATACTTTGAGACTGCTGCCATCAGATATCTGCTAGGAATTGAAATGTAATCCTGATTTTTTATTCTAAGCATCAGCAAGGAATCCTTAAACAGTGGAAATCTTCAACTCCATAAACAAGATGAACCAGCTTCGAAACCTGTAAAGTTAACTGGGCCGGGCCAAGGAGAGGTAAGTATGAAATTTTGTCTATCCATATTCTATGAAAAATAGATGCACACTGTTTTGGAAATCATTATTCTTGTAGATATAGCATCTCATCTACCCATTACTCCCAAGAGTTTATAGAGAAAGAAGCCGTGAGTTAATTCTTTTATACCTAAGGGAGATATACTTCAGGCAGGAAATGATGCTTAAAAACCAGACTGGATTTACTAAAAAGAAGTTGCTAAGAAAAAAAGGCAATTTATGCAAGTGACTTTGGTGAATTATTATGGCAGTGAAAGATGACTTTCGTGGCTATGTAGATTTAGCTTCCATTCTCATCCTTTGTCCAGAGTAATGTATGGATTGTTTTTGGTTATCTCTGTCACTTCTAGTGGAAAGGGTATGGTGGGGTGGCGGGATGTTACAGGAAATTCATGAGCTCTCTGATGTCTTTCACTGGCATCATCTCCCCCCTCCCAAAACCAAAAAACAAAACATTGTTGTGTTATTTGTTTTATCATTTGGTCAAGCAGGTTGCCAGACCGGCCCATAAAAAGAAAGCTCGAATGGCGCGGACGCGCTCCGATTTCTTGACTAGAGGTACTTTTGCTGATGGGGAGGGGGATACAGAGGAAGATGATTACGATGACATTGAGCCCCTTCTCTCCCTTGACCAACCTTCTCACTCTGAGCTAGGGCCAGCACCCAGCCTGGGTCAGGCCTCTCACAGTGACTCCGAAATGGTAATTTTACAGCAATATAAGAAAAATAGGCAACAAGCAAATCTGATGGGAATAGTCTTTGCTAATCTAAAGCTAACCTTCACAGCTTCTTCCCCATATAATGGTTTGTACATGGGAAACCTCAGTGAACACAGCAAATAAGCTAAACTTTAATAGGACTAAGATAAAGGACACTTTAACAGTGCATGTCAAATCATAAATTAGGCAACATTGAGGTTAACTTGGCACTAATGTAGAAATTTTCTGTGTTATATCTTGAAAGGTGTAGAGCAGGAAGCTTCAAATATGTTTTTCAGTAAAGGGCCATATGATGAACATTTTAGACTTTGTGGAACATACAGTTTCCTTTGCAACCACTTAAGTCTTCTACCATAGAGTAAAAACAACCATAGACAATAAGTTACAAGTGGGCATGGCTCTGTTCCAGTAAAATTACTTACAGAAATAGGCAATGGATTCTATTTGACTTGTTGGCTGTAGTTTTCTGACCCCCTCCCCGACCTAGTGACTAGAGTATGTGTTAATCCAATAGCTTTTCATTGAAATGGCGTTTTCTTCTTTGCCTTTAAAGTTGCTTTCTCCTCCCTAATTTTTTAGTAATAGAAAATAAACATTAATTTTTAAAGATTTAATTTAATGAGCAATACCAAAAATATCTCCCTAGACCAGCCTGGCAAAGTAGAAGGTTTTGTATGAATATGAGTTTGTATTAATCACAGATTATAGCAATGGAGTTAGGTTTGAATAAAACTATACTATTTTGACTAAGAACATAACCTTATCTTTATATCTCAACAAAAATTAGGTACACATGTAGTTTAACAAGTATGAATGCATTTGTGGATGTAAAGTGTTTGATTTTGTAATTGTCCCAGAAAATACACAGTATCGGGACCCTGTATGTATGATATGTACTAAAACATTATTGCTGATAGAGTAGAGTGATATGCAGGTTATTTCTATCCATATTCTTAATTAATTGGATCTCATTCTTTTTTATGGGAGAAAAGTTTTAGGATGGTCTGATGGTCTTCTTTTGACTCATTAAATATTTTATCTTTGAACTGTTTTAAGCTGTTGATTGTGCCAAAGATCTAGTTAATTAAGATTTTGGCTAATTTCTAGAATACTCCCATTTTCTTTATCTTTTGTTGGAGATAAACCCAGTTTTTAAATGACAATATTGACATTCTAAGAAATAAAAAACTGTATCAAAGAAAAATGCACTACCAGTTCTCCAATTAGACAAGTGGGTCATTGCCCTGAGCCAAACTGTGGGGTTATAAAAGGTGGGAACAGTCTGTATATCCATTAATAGAGAGAAAGCCCTCTCTTCAGGTAGGATAAAACAACTTCATTTTGGAGATTTCCTGTTTTTTGAGTAAAAAATAACAACACATTCTTATATGATTATTAAAGATGAAATTATGTAATGAATCAAACTAATATTAATGGCAAGTACTACTTAGATATATTTTTTTAGTGTGAATAGAGAGCATACTGAATTTGTTCTCTAAAGCATAAGTAAATGTTTCACTTGTGGAAGAACTTAGCATTTATAATTGCTGCTTTGTTCCTGAGAGTTTCCTTTGTTACAAACCTCAGTCCTTTTTGTGGTAGATTTCTTTCTCACTGAGAACTCTACTGAGATGAACCAGGAAGCTGGGCTTTGTGCTTGGAGCATTCAGCCCCTTTAAGGGTTCTAGCTGGTAGCCTCTGCCTATGATCCTGTTCACCTGCTTGATAGTCACTGCATGCCAGTAGTTATAGAACACCCACCCTGCAGTGTGTTAGTCACCTCTCCAGCTTTCTCACTGCCCTTCTGTTTCATCACTAGCTATTTTAGGAACAGGTGGTGGTGGTGGTTTCTGATGGATACTTGCATGGAAAAGCTTTGCTTTCTAGAATATGCTGATACTTAGTGGGATTGAGGGTGGGAACGGTAGGGACAATTTTAAAGTGTATTTATGTTTATATTGAAAATATTCCATGTTCTAATGTTATCTGATATTGTGAAGATGAAGACCAATTGTTTGTAAATTGAATCTACTGAATTCTCATGATTGAGATATCTTCAGAATTTTAAATGGGCTTGATTTTCTGAGTACATGGATTTTAAAAACAGGACAATTGGGGGGATTTTTTTTTTCCTGGACAAAGTGATCCTGTCACTGACTTCTGCTAAGAAGTGTGTCATTCACTGTTGGATGAAGCCCTCTGACCCTTCCAGTTGTGAAATATCTAATGAGATAAAGACAGTTATAAATGAATTACGTGAAGGGAGTTTGATAAGCATTACCTCCTGAGTTGATGAAATGTTCATCATTTTTAATTGGCTTTGTAGGAGTGGAGACAAGAATAGTATTTTCCCTCCTTAAGATTTTGGTATTTTGTTTTTTAATTTCCTACTTATAACTCTGCCGTTTGAATAACTGTTCACCCTGTATTTGCTGTTCTCACTCAGTTCCTATACCCACTATGTTGGCTTTTACCGGAGAAGAATGACCCATTCTGCTAAGCAGTATTTTTAAGGTGGCTTTTATATAGTAATTTAGTCTGTCAGTCTTCTGAATGATGAATTAATAGAATGATTTGTATCCCTTATTTGTAGCATTGGTGTAATAACATTACAGTTTTCTCTGTATAGTTTCTTCTACCTTTTACCAGAGTTAAACCAATCATTTGGGAGAGCAATTCCCAAATAGCTCTCCAGAATTTCTCTTCTTTATTTCCAGTATGATAAAACTAAATTTCTCATCCCCTCAGAAAAACTGCTGTCATTTTTTGTATTCCTATTTCTGTTTGTTATTCTCTGAGATACTCTCAAGTACTTAAGCTGTGTTGAGTTTTCTTTCATCCCGCTGTCCACTCTACAAAAAAACTGCCAGAAAAATCTGTTGATTAAGCCTAAATTTATTAGCTTATTTCATAGTAAGTGAAAATCCACCTTGACTAGGTCTTAGTAATTTCTCAGAAAGGGGAAGTCAAGGCAGGATGTTTAGAGGATTTTAGAACATAGACTAGTGATTTTGAAGTGATTGTTGAAAGTTGGAAAACTTGTTGGTAGTGAACAAAGCCTATGACAGAAGAGGTTTAGATGGGTGGCCCCCAGATAACAGCCACACTGTTAAGTACACTTATATGTGTATTTTATTCCCCCAAAAGTTAGTTTATAGCATTGTGACTGTGCTTTTTGAAGATTTTATAGAATTTCTCTATGAAACTATCTGGGATTGGTACTTTTTGTGACATAATTTCTTTATAAGTTCCTCTGTTCTAGTAAAATTAGTCTTTTAAGCTTTCTACCTAATGGGTTCAATTTTGGTAAATAGTTTTTTCTGATGAAATTATCCATTTCATCTAACTTTTCAGATTTATTTGCATAGCAGTTTGGAAAATAAGTAGTCTCTTAAGATTTTTAAAAATTCTTTGTTTCAAAGGTTATTCCCCCTTTGTCACTTCTTATTTTGTAGATTTGTGTTTTTTCCTTTTTTTTTTAAGCTAGCAAGTCATTTGTTAATGTTTTTCACAATAACAAGATTTTAATTTATTTATTATACCTGCTTCCCCCCCTTCTGATTTTGCTTTTGCCTTTGTTATTATCTCTGTTTGCTTTCTTCTGGTTATGTTTTTTAATTTTATAGCTTTTGATTTGGGGATTTGGAATCATTTATTTATTTTTATTGATACAAATTTTTAAGGCTACAAATTCTTTGAGCAGTACTTCAGATGTATCTTATTTATTCTAATGTGTAAAGTTTTTTAAGAAAAATGTAATTTTAGTTCATATTACAATTTTTTGCTGAGAACTTGTATAATAAATTTTTTTTAGTTTTCAAAGGAAGAACCATTTTGTTTTTTATGTGTTTCTAGTTTTATGATATTGTGATCAAAGAATATTTGTAATGTTTCTGTTTGATCAGATTTATCAGTATTATTTTTTACTTCATACATATATGATCAATTTTTGTGACTGTACTATGTGCATTTGATAAGATGTATTTTCTATTTAGAGTGTACAGTTTCAATACATATTCATAATCGCTACCTCATTATGTTGTTTGTCTTATACATTTTTATTTTTTGTACATTTGATCTGTCTTATACAGAGAGAATGCTGTGTTAAAGTCTCCTATTATTTATTATTAGTTGTGGCTTTTAGTATTTAAAAAATGTCTTTCATGCCCTACCCGCTGTGGCTCAGTTGGTTGGAGCAGTGTCCCATAAACCAAAAGGTCATAGGTTAAATTCCCAGTTTGGACACATGCCTACATTGTGGGTTCATTTTGGTCAGGGCATGTGTAAGAGGCAACCAATTCATGTTTCTCTGTCACATTGATGTTTCTCTCCATCTCTCCCTTCATCTCTCTCTAAAATCAATAAGCATGTCCTTGGGTGAGGATTTTAAAAAAACATCTTTTGTCACATTCAGGACCTTTTGCTTGAATCCTCCTCAATAGTAATATCATAGCCTCTATTTTGTTAGTATTTCCATTTGCTCAGAATATTTTTGGTCATCCTCTTATTTTTAGCCAAAAAGATTCTTCATCTTTTTGTTTTAGAAGTGTGTTTTCTACACAGTATAGTTTGGTTGTCCTGCTTTGTGAACCAAATTAAAATTTTCTTTCCTTGATAGGTGAGTTAAATCTATTCATATTTATTAATATAACTGATAGATTCAGCCTCAACTCTTAAAATTTTCCATTTTAACAGCTCAAGATGGCTTCTGTCGATAAGGCTATAGTCAAGCAGGCTAAGGACTTAGAAATATTATAACTTAGAAAAAGGAAATACTGAGAAATGAATTGACTAAGTAATAAGAAATTCTCTCCTTCAAATTGCATTGTCTTTAAAAGGCATGTTGTAAACAAAATGGCACAGGAATTGCCAATTGAAAATCAGGTCCCAGTAGGATAGCCATGTGAGTTGTTGCCATAATTTAGACTGTTATTGGTGATAATGGTTTTTTATTCTTTAGGCCTTTGGTTTTTCATCTCTTTCTGTGTTCTTGCTCTTTTAAATCTTTTAATGTATATGACAAGAATCTATAATAGCAACTTAAGTCATAATAATAAGGAGGTATGAAAGACTGTATTTAGCATTCCATATTCATCAGATTCTTGATCTTTTGTCTGTCTCTTTAGTTTTGACTTCTTTCTTTCATTTTCACTTGATATTCTTTGTTAAACTGTCAGAAAACATGAGCTCAAAGGGCCTACTTAGCATTTTCATTGACTTAAGTTTTCTTTATTTCAGATTGTTCTAGTCATTTAATAGAGTTTTTAATAGGTTCTTTTATGTCGATAAATCTCTGAAATAATATTAATGTATTTTTGTTCATTTTTAATAGGTGTAATTCTCAAAAAAATTCTATAACCTGAGTTTTAATTACACTGCTATGATATTGTTACTTGATTTTAAAGTCTTTCATGTATATAATTATTACAGACATCACAGCGATTTTCTTCAGTTGATGAAGAAACAAAGCTTCATAAGACTATGTCTCAAGGAGAGATTACGAAATTGTCAGTGAGACAGAAGACTTCAGATTTGGATATAAGGTATAAAGTATACACTGAGAGTTAATAGGTATAATATTCTATTTTCTAATTGACTATAGTTAAATACTGAGCCTCTTTTCAAAAGCCTAATTAATAGAGCAGTTAGTTTCTATTTTCAACAAATATTAAGTGCTTACTATGTGATAGACACATAATAATTCAGATGTATAAAATGAGCTTTATCTTTGTAAGTGAGATTTGAGCCAAGTCTTTAAATCATTATATTACTTGTGATTTTTTTTGTTGTTGTAAAAGAGATTACACCAGAATGACATTGAAAATGTAGCTTTGGACTTAGAGTCTATTCTAAGTGTTTTATAACTGGAACTGGAAAAATCTTTAGGGAAATAATGCTGTTCTCTTTAAAAGAGTATGTAGAATTTTCATTTGTCAAATATATTTGGAATGTGGAGGAAAGGAGACCTTAACCTTAGTGCACTGTTTGTAGCAATACAGATTGGTACAACCACTATGGAAGACAGTGTGTGGAGGCCCTTCAAAAAATTAAAAATGGGCCCTGGCTGGTGTGACTCAGTGGATTAAGTACGAGTCTGTGAACCAAAGGGTTGCTGGTTCTGTTCCCAGTTAGGGCACATGCCTAGGTTGCTGGCCAAGTCCCCAGTAGGGGGCACTCAAGAGACAACCACACATTAATGTTTCTCTCCCTTTCTCCTCCCTTCCTCTCTCTAAAAATAAATAAATAAAATTAAAAAAAAATTAAAAATGGACTTGTCTTATGACCCAGCAATTTCACTTCTGGGAATATATCTGAAGAAACCTGAAACACTAAAGCAGAAGAGTATATACATCCCTATGGTCATTGCATCATTATTTACAATAGCCAAGATATGGAAGCAATCCAAGTGCATGCCCATCAGTAGATGAGTGGATAAAAAAAGCTGTGGTACATTTACACAATGGAATACTACCATTTCATGACAGCATGATTGGACCTAAAGGGTATTATGCTAAGTTAAATAAGTCAGTGAGAGAAAGACAAATACCATATGATTTCACTTATGTGTGGAATCTAATGTACAAAATAAACCAAAAAATAAGAAATAGACTAATAGGTACAGAGAACAGACTGACAGCTGTCAGGGGGGCGGTGCTGGGCGATGGAGTGAAAAATGTGAAGGTCTTAAACAGTACAAATTGGTATTTATGGAATTGCCTCAGAAATGTAGATTACAGCATAGGGAATATAGTCAATAATATTGAGATAAATATGTATGGGGCAAGGTGGGTGCTTGGGGCCACAGGTGGATCACTCTGTAGGGCATGTGATTTTTCTGGCCACTTTGCTGTACATCTATCTGGGTCTAGTGCGGAATGGTGATGGGTATGGACTGTGGTTGAAAAATAAAAAAATTTAAAGAGAAAAATAAAAACAGCAAAGTCACAATTTAAAAACCCCCACGATTTTTTATTAACAAATGATGAAGAAATTATTGCAGATACAGAAGAAATTTTAGAGTAATTTTATATTTATTTTAAAAAATGAACTTAAAGTACAAATACAATTTATCTGTTTCAAGAAAAATATTTATTACCAAAACTGACTCTGGAAAATATTTAAAGAAAAATTAAGCAGACTAAATAAATAAATATTTTTTTCCTTATTATGTTATATAAGGTAATTGGGCCCTCACTGAATACTTGAAACCTATCTGGTTCATAACCCTATTAAAGACTACCTCCTTAATAATTGCCATGGCATAATCCAAGGTACTGTATTTTGTCATGTATAATGGGCCCTTTTTGCCCAAATTTTTGAGGGAAAATAAGTATGCACATTATACATGGGTAGTACTAATTCCATATCTATATAAATGTTTTTAATTCTTTTATTTACGCTTATGTGTTGAAAGTGTAACTTGAGAAAGCAATAAAAGTGTCTGTATGCAAAATAATACCCTGGAATATGATGATCAGTTTTGTTTCTACATATAAATAAATTAAAATTGAATTAAAAATTAAAAGGAAAGATTTTTTCCCTGAAAGTTTGGGCCAAAAATGTGGGTACGCATTATACACGGCAAAATACAGTAACCCAAATCCAGAGCAGATCGTTGTGGAGATCAAATTTTGGCAAACTAGAAAGAACATATAGCTGGAGACAGCAGATCAAGTATATAAATTTAATTTCTACTTCCTCCTTCAAAATTGCCAAAATGACAAAACATATACAGAACCAAAAACAAAAACAACAACAACAAAACAACAGGAGACAACAATAATAAAAGTAGCATCCAAAAGTAAATAGCCAAATTTTAAATGTATTGATAGGGGAAACTTGAACCCTAAACCAACTGGATAAACCTGAGAAAGAAGCATCGGGGTGATTGATCTTCCCCTGTCCTAGTGGAAATCAGGAGATTTATTCCCTGGAAAGGATGAAAACAGAAGATCTCTGCTTGGGAGTATCAGACGCATTTGAAGACTGGGGTTGCATATTTGGCACAGGGGATTTAATAACTGTTTACATACTGAATGTTAAGATTGCCCAGCTTTTTCCCCCATTTAGCTTCCATATTTAATGTACCAGCCCAGCAGATGGTTCGAAGAGTCTTTGGGGCGTTTTGTCCAACCCTTTAGGAAAGACCTAGAGATGTTGGTATCAGGGGCTCTCCCTCCCTACAAAACAGACCAACCAGCTAACCCTACAAGGAAGACCACAGTTTGGAAGCCCCACAGAACAGCTTTTTTTTTTTTTATCCTATTTTTGATTGTCATACATCTGAGGAAACATGTGAAAGAAACTAAAACTAATGGATAAAATACAACTTGAGAGAAATAAACTGTGTGGGGCGGGGAGCATGTGGAATTCAAGACAGATAAGTACAGCTATCAACAGTCCTGCATAAATAAATATAACTATTCAATATATCCATGAAACAAAACAGAATGCATGAAAAAGAAGCATTGAGGTTTAAAAAAATAGCATAAAGAAACAACTCAGAAGTGTTACAAAGTTGAGGCCATATCTCAGAAAGTTGAGCAAGTAGACAAAGAGATGAAGATGCAAGAAAAAATAAGAAAATTAGAGGAGCTAGTTTTTCCAGTAGGTCCAATGACCCAGTGATAGGAGCTCTGAAAAGATAGAACGAAGAAAATAGAAGGGATGAAATCATTAATAAAGTAATTCAAATAATTTATAGAACTAAAGGACATGAGTTTCTAGATAGAAAGGGCCTACTGAGGGCCCAACATGAAAATAGACCCATGCCAAAAGACATGTCATCATAAAACAATAGTGGCAAAAGGAATTTCTATTATGATGGTGAAAGTAGCTTTTAAATGATAGTTGTACAGCAAGCGCTGAAGGAAGCCATGCTGGATTAGAGCAGGATAGAAGACTCTGGGAGAGATTTCAAGAACATGAAACTTGATGGAGTACCTCCTATGTTTGAACATGTTGAGAAGAGATACACACAAATGGGGAAACCCTTGGAAGTGAATTGTACAAAGAAAAGTAAGCAAGTGTGAAACAAAATATTTATTAACTGTAGGAAAATGTAGATTTTGTTGTGAACTACATGTCTCAGTTGTGAATATTACTAAAAGAAAATATTCTGTATTGATCTAACTAAAATTTCAGTATGATTCTATTGGGAGCACATCTGTGTTTGTGGAAGGTATAGAACAGAAGTGGTGGAACATGCTTAATTATAATCAGTGGTCATGGGTATGATAGCAATGTAAGTATAGTAAATATTAAAAGAATCAAATTAATTCAAAAGGGTTGTCTCTAGGGAGCAGAAAAGAATGAGAATGGCAGAAGGGTGCTGTCATTTGTAATAAGCCTTATAGAAAATTTCTCTTTATATGGACATATAATTTTAGGAGAAAGCTTTAAAAAAATGGAGCAGAGGAAGAAAGATCGCAGGCTTCAAAACCAGATAGATCGCATTTTAACTTCCATTTCCATCAGCCCTCTGAGCCTTATTTGCTCATGCGTAAAGGAAGGAGAATAACTCTTTATCCCATGTTTGACCCTTAAATAACGTGGGTTTGAACTACTTGGGTCCACTTACACTCAGTTTTTTTGCAACAAATACAATACTGTAGATGTATTTTCTCTTTCTTAACGATTTTCTTTTTTTTTTTAGATTCTATTTATTTGTTTTTAGAGAGAGAAGGAGGGAGGGAGGGAGGGAGAGAGAGAGAGAGAGAGAGAGAGAGAGAGAGAGAGAGAGAGAGAGAGAGAAGCCTGCAACCCAGGCATGTACCCTGTCTGGGAATCGAACCTGCGACACTTTGGTTCACAGCCCGTGCTCAATCCACTGAGCTACGCCAGCCAAGGCTACGATTTTCTTAATAACATTTTCTTTCCTCTAGCTTACTTTCTTGTAAGAATACAGTGTATAATCCATAAAGCATACAAAATGTGTTAATTGTTTATGTGATTAGTAAAACTTCAAGTCAGTAGTGGGCTATTGGTAGGTGAGTTTTGGGGGAGTCAAAAGTTATATATGGATTTTCAACTGTACATAGGGTCAATGCCCCTAACTCCCATGTTGTTCAGAGTCAGCTGTACTTGTGAAAATTAGATATGCCATATATAAAGCATGTTAACTGGCTTCTAGTAGATGCTCAAAAAAAATTTTATTGACTAAGTGAACACATGAAGGAACAAACTGATGTATAAGTAAATCTCCTAGTATGGGATTAGGATATCTAATATGTGGTTAGTAAATGTGAGCTATTGTTATTATCTCAAGGCGTTGCCTTGATTGATGTGATAAGGGTGTATTAAGCACCTAAGAATGAGGCAATATAGCATAGTAAGTGCGATTCTCAACTTTGTCACTCACAGGCTGTGGATCCTTGGAAAAAGTACCTAATAATTAAGCCTCCAGTTTTTCACCTGTAAAAGTGTTATAATAGTTTGGAAATAAACATGTTATAATTATATCAAGTAATCCTAGGCAAGTACTTAGTGCTGTGCCTGGATAAAATAGCAAGTTAAGTGGTGGCTTTTGTTAATTAATAATATTGATGGCTTATGAATATAGAGTAACATTAAAACTTTGGTTACATAATGGTAAGTGGAAATATTTAAAATTCTGTCTCCATCATGATTACAAGGTATGAAAACAGGGATGCTTATAGATAAAGACTGGAAGAAAATTACCCCAAAAATATAAATTAATATATTGCAGAGTGATGGGATATCAGTGATTTTTTTAAAGTACTTTTTTCTTGTTAAATTGCCTGTACACTGAGTCCAAGCTAGAAGGAGGACCAGAGCAAAAAGGTACCAGTTTAAGGCTTAGAAGACCTGAGTTGGAATCCTAGTTCCACTGCTTTGTATTTGTTTATTTTAGGGAATTATTTAATGTCTCTGGGTCTTATTATTTCTCTGTGCAAGTTGAGGAAATTCAGAAGAAATTTAAATGTGAAATTGAAAATGAAATATGATTAAACTTATATGAAAATGTTAAATGAACTAATATGTACATGAAAGGTCTTTATAATATTAGCTTAAAGTGGCATACAAATATTATCACTGGGATGTGCTGATTTCCATTTTTACCTTTATTATTTTTTTTTTTCTAAATAGACCTCAGAGAGCTAGGATGAGATTCTGGGCCAAAGGGAAACAAGGGGAGAAGAAGATTACCAGAGTGAAACCCACCACCCAGTCAGAGGTTTCGGCACTCTTTGCTGGCTCAGATACGATTCCAGCTCATCAGTTTTCAGATGGTAAAAAATGGACAAAGGGCGGAGATTGTCTTCGTGATTCCTGTTCACTCTTGCTGAAAGTGTGCTGTTGCCCTAGTGTTTGTAATGGCAATCCTGTTGGCTAGATATTCTAACGAGCTAGGACCAAGATTATTAAATCCTTCCTTAACTAAAAATAATTATAAAAAATATTGTACCTATAATAGAAGTTCCAAGGAAGTGTGGCACAAAACAGTGAAGTAACAACTACTTCAAGAATGGTTGTGTATCTTTAGTCAGCTTCATTTTTCTAAAGTGTTAAAATTTAGCTATCGTGTACTCATAGACAAATATGTATTAGTAGTGAAAATAAGCAGATAGCTGCTAATACTTGAGTGCTTACTATGTAGAAGGCATCGTACTAAGCATGTGTGCATTAACTCAGTTGATACAACTTTTTGAGGTATATGTTATTCCCAGTTTATAGATGAGAAAACTGAGATACAGAGAAGTTATTTCCTTATAAACATTTAGTAATTGGCAGAGCTGAAATTTGAATCCAAGCAGTCTAGCTCCAGAGTCCAAGTACTTAACCACTGATGCTACATATTAAGTACCTACCAAATGTTAGTGCCTGGAACTTTATAATGGTAGCTGTTATTTTAACTTTTTGAGCATCAATCATAACACATTTGAAAATACTCGATGGTTAGTTAATCTGTTGAGAAAACTGGTTTTTCTAAATGCTAGAATCACTAACTCTCCAAGGATTTCAGTAACCCCTCTGTTAGAATAGTAACCCCATTCTTCCCAAGCCTTTTGCTTAGGCATGTTTTTAATTACTGTGTAAAGATGTCAGCTATCTCCCATAGGAATATATATGAAAGGTGGATATGTGATAATGAGTGTATGAAATATCAGTGGATGGGTGATAAAATGGAAAGAGGTTCTAGGAAGAAAGTTTTCTCTTAAAGAAAGATATAACAGACCCAGTTGCAATAAGTAAACAAAACTTCTCATATCTATGATAAGATAAAGGGCCAAGGAGGAAAGATCATCCTTTCACATAGGAAAGGATGGGTCAGAGGTACCTGTGTGCCGCAAGAAAAAATGGTAGAAATAGAGTTTGAACCTTGTTTTTATGTCTTGTGGCTTTGATCCTATCAGTTGGCAAACTGATAAGGATAAAACTAATAATGAATTAAGTGAATACTACAAGTTTAGTTTGGAGGACTTGGAGTTCCTTACCATTATATTACTAATAAGATCAGTTTCTTATATCTTATCTGGTTTACAGTAATCATTCTGATTTTCTCACTTTTCACAGTTATATTCTCCATTGTTAATTCCCAAGAAGAAAGGTTAAAGCTCTTTAGTTGGAGCATGTGTTATTAGCAGTCTTCATTGTGTATTTGCTCCATAAGGATACATATATAAAAGTTAAGGTTGTAGCCTTTTAATTACATTTGGGTAGAAATTTATTAAGGTTGCCTTTGTTTTAATGATCAAATAAGATTATAAATGGTTTCTCTAGTAACTATTTCTTTATCATAAGACTTTATTATTTAGACTTTGCTAAAATGAAAAACTTATATATATCTAGGTTTATAATAGAATTAAAATCAGTTGACAGCAATTTGAATATATTTGTATCCTGTGTCTTTATAATTTTTATTCTGATGCCATATTTGAGATTGGGTTAGCCTCACATCTGCCTGAGGTAGAATTAAGCATTTAGGGGAGGCTGCTTTTTTTCCCCAGTTATCAGAATTAGCTTTTGGATGGGATGAGGATATACCATTGGAAAGAGGGTAAGGTGAATACATGTGGGGGAAACAAACAGATATGTGAAATGAGACGGGGCCAGTATTCTCATGAAGTCCCCGGTAGGGTTTCAGCAAATCCAGTGTAGTTCTAGATTGTAATGGACTACATGTAGTCCAATTTCTTGGGTGTAAACAATTGTAGAGAAAATGTATTGTTCTTTCTAATAGTGTATACAAAATCAGTTCACTCCAGGAATTCTCTGGGAAATGCAGTTATTTGGAAGGTACATTAAAAAAATCGTAAATACAGAAGAGACTGAAGCAGAAGTGAGCCATTTGTTACCTGGCTCCCTAAACAGGTTGCCAAACTAAGTCCAGATATTATTACTGAAGTATTTATGGCTGTAGTCACTAGTAAGGAAGTAATAATAATTACCAAACCTCACTGGTTTGATAATTATGTATTTTTATAATTAAGGCCGTAGAAATTGTTGAACAATATCAGTCAGCTTGGAGTTTCCAGTTACACAGAACACTGAGAATTACTCATTGCTCTTCTAGAATCTTCCTAACTTTTACTCTGGTATAAGATCGGAGCAAGAGGCTAGGTTGCCTTTTAAAACTTGTAAGTGATAATTATATAATTTTATACAGCTGGATGTTCTTTCAAACAGGTGTAGTTAGACTGTGACTGTGTTAGCATGCTAGTGTGGTTTTGTACTCTTTCTTTTCTTTGGGTCAGAGGTCTCTGAGATCCAGGCTTCCGATCTATAACACACTTCTATCCAGGTTTTTAGTATCAGACCTTAAGAAGACATGACAGTATTTTCCATTGAAAAGTGGTAATTCTTAACTACATTTTCTGTACAAAGGTGCAAACTGGATTTATTGTTTGAATACCTGGCCTCAAACATTAATGTTACTTTGCTTTTTAGATATTTACATGTATTTCTTACAGTGACTTACTAAAGGAACTTATACTTAAAAAGAGGGATTTGGAGATTTCAGTAATTTTACTGAATATCTTTTCTTTTTGCCTACTCTGTCTTGAATCATAGAACTAGCTCCCTATCATCCAACACCTCCTTTGAGCCCAGAATTGCCTGGTAGTTCCCAGAAGGAATTCAAAGAGAACAAAGAGCCTTCTCCAAAGGCGAAGCGCAGGCGAAGTGTGAAGATCAGCAGTGTGGCTTTGGAATCTATGCACTGGCAAAATGACTCTGTCCAGATCATAGCAAGTGCCAGTGATTTAAAAAGCATGGATGAATTTCTTCTGAAAAAGGTACACTTTGAATGCTGAGTTAGGCCCATGAGCAGCTTTGACTCTGGAATACTTTTATATATCAGGATATGGCTGCTAGAGATCAAGGTGACAAATACTTCATTAGGTTAGATGGTCTGTTCTTTTCCAGGAAGATGCGAGTAGTGATACTCATTAGTCTGGGGAAACAGAACTGAATGTGTTAGGTTTTACTCTAGACTTCCATTTTACTGTAACTGCCATGTTATAGTAAATATATGTGTGAAGGTGAGGCTTGTCATTGTACACTTGAAGTTTTTCTGGTAGTAGTATAGAATCATAAATGTTAGAAAGGACATTAGAAAGGGACATCTAGTAGTAATAAAACTGTGCCTATTTAGTTGTGTTTTTACCTGGGTCCCTTAATAGCAGTGGCTTGCACTTTCCAGGCAATCATTGAAGCACCAATATGTGTCCGCAGTTGCATTCACTTTTCATTTACTTGATTCTCTACAAAAACTCTGTCTATGGCCTGCAGGTGAATGACTTAGATAATGAAGACAGCAAGAAAGACACACTCGTGGATGTTGTATTTAAAAAAGCCCTGAAAGAATTCCGGCAGAATATCTTCAGCTTTTATTCATCTGCACTGGCGGTGAGTTGGGCATTGTTAGGATATATTTAGTAGTTCAACATACAAAAAAGTTGCCAGTACTGTAGAAGATAATAGAAAGGCTGTGTTTTAAACTAGAAATTTCTCCAGTTCCTTGGTTTTGTTTTATGTACAGGTAGGGGAAAAGCATACTGAATGACTTCATATCAATAGCTTCCTTGAATTTCCTTGAGTAGTTTTCTTTTTCCCCTTTCTGGGTATATTTTCGTCTCCTTAAGATACTGAATTTAGATATTCTGAGTATGATTCTCTTTCACCCAGTGGCTCCCTACTCTCTTGACGTCTCATAATCCTTTAAGTCAAGCTTCAAATTCTCACATGTGTGGAATTACCATACAGTTTTTTTTCCAGTGGAATTAGAACAGTTTTATTCACTGATTTCTCTCGGTTTATATCACTTTCAGATTTATACTTTCATGTGATATTAGTTCTGTTTTAGAAAATGTGTTTTTAATGCTAAAGTATATAATAATTAATGCCTGACTTATGGGAGAAATTCCCAGGGCTTTTTAAAATTATTACATTTTTTAAGCTGTTAGGTATTTTACCAAAATTTAGCAGATTTCACTCAGCAGATATTTCACAGTAGAGTGAGAGTTTACATCTACAAATACCACATGACATTATGGGCATGCCCATTAGAAAGTATATCAGGTTCCTAATCTTTATTCTGAATACTACTACCCAGTGCAAGTTGAATCAATTTTCTATATGTAAAGAATTTCTTCAAAAACTTTAAAGTTGTTCTTTTATTGCTTATTAGGTGGATGATGGCAAAAGCATACGATATAAAGACCTCTACGCACTGTTTGAGCAGATTCTGGAAAAGACCATGAGGCTTGAGCAACGTGATTGGAGAGAATCTCCAGTCAGAGTTTGGGTGAACACTTTTAAAGTGTTTTTAGATGAATATATGAATGAACTCAAGACTTTGGATTGTATACCCCCAAAGGTAAATATGATATATTTTGGTTTCTAAAAGGATTTGATTATGAACTCTGCTTAAGCATCTGTTTGGGACAGCTGGTATTTGAGAAAAATGTTATAGTGAAATGTTAAAATTTTTCAGCATTATAACATTATAATGTTATAATGTTAATGTCAATTCAGCATTACTTGAAATTTAACAAACTCCATTCTATCTTAGAAGTTCATCAGACCATATTTTATAAACCTTTTGCAATTAATACATTCTTCATTGAGATAAAATATAATGTGCATTCAAGATTATACCCTCAGCTTTGATCAAGGTCAATACATGAATTTCTTTTGTTAAAACAACAGTTGAAGATATGGGTTACTGTATCATCTAGTGACCTTTATGTGAGGACCCACAAATTATATTTATTTAAATTAGGTTTTAGGAAAATGTATGTTTCTGCAAATCTATGTAACATAATAATAACCTTTATTTTATTAAGTGCTAGGAATTGGACTTGGTGTTTGGCATTTTATGTGATTCTTGCTTCAGCCCTATTAAATAACTATTATGAAATCTATGTTACAGAAGAGTAGCATTATACAAAGTTATCAATGTGGTTCTTTTTTTACTACTCCAGCTGAAATAGTTATCTAATTATTAGTTATTAAGAATACCATTAATCCTTTTTGTTGATTATGTTCCATTTAAATTCAACTTATTCTAGTTTCTATGTGTTGAGATTTACAAACCATCTTAAATAATTTTTGAAGTAGTCAGGTAGAAATAAATCCTTAAAAGTTCTTCTCTTCTAGATCTTGGTTAAGGTCTTTATGTTATGCAGAGGAAGATTCTTACTAAGTTTATATTGCCTCAGTTTATAATTTTAAAAGGTTAGCATTGGAGCGTTCTATACTGTGGTTAGCAGGAAATACATGTAGAAAAGCTTTTTTATATCCAAATGATAGCTTCTAATTTTTATTCTATTTATTGTTTAATCTTCACCTGAGAACATGTTTATTGATTTTTTTAGAAAGAAAGGAGGGAAGGAAGAAAAGAAGGGAGGAAAGGGAGTGTAGGGGGAGAGAGAAACACCAATGTGAGAGAAACATTGATCAATTGCCTCTCATATGTGCCTTGACCAGGGATTGAACCCGCAACCTTTTGATGTATGGAACAGTACTCAGTCAACTGAGCCACTTGGACAGGGCAATAGTTTTTTATATTTAGCTCTGAGATAGAGAGTTTTCTAGAGCCAAAATAGGGAAAGTGCAATCTTTAAAATTAGTAATCATTTAATTAATGGGTAAAACAAAATTATCATTTAAGTTAATATGGTGTGGTTTCTGGACAGAACTGAGGTTTAAAAAGACAGTAATCTTTAAAATGCCCTTTCATTCTCTTGCCTTTATGAGCACTGTTGCACCAAATTTCAGAATTTCTCACATTTACTTATTTTGTTGCCTTTTGAGCAAAAATCTTAGCATTTGCAAAGAAGTACAGTATTTTTTTTTTACATCACAATTTTTGTATTTATTTCCCACCAGGTGCCAAAAACAGAAAGAAAGAAAAGAAGGAAAAAAGAAACTGATTTAGTAAGTCATAATCTTTTATGTTACAAAAAAAAGTAATTTTTAGGCCAGTAGTCTGAAGAATATTATACAGTATTCATGTGGAGATACTTAAGGAATGTTTATCAGCTGCCTAGAGTAGTTATTTATGGCTTTAAAAATTACTTGGAATAATAAATGTGACTTTGTCTTTTGTGATTTGACTTGTTATCAATGGTGGCTTCCTAAAATGGCTGACTTCTGATCTACAAAACTGTGTGATAATAAGTAGTTGTTTTAAGATGCTAAATTTTTGGTTATTTGTTACAGTAGCAATGGAAAACATAATAGCTGTGCACAGAAATCTGTTTTACAGCTGTCTTAATACTCATTGCTGGGCCATTGGGTTGTTTCTACTCTTCTGCTGTTACAAACAATAATGGCACTGTGAAGAGTGTGTATTAAGAGTGTGTGTAAGTGGGTGGAGGGAAATTACTAAAATTGGAATTACTGGGTCATAAGTAAAATGTATCTGTCATTTTGATAAATAGTGCTTCATTTCCTCATATGGGTAATCTCATTCTTCCATTTCAACAATAATGTATCAGTGTGGGCTATTAAATTTTTCCCAGTTTGATAAATAAGGAAAACCTGAGTAGTTTCTCCCTATAGTTTTAATATTCTTTTATTATCAGTGAATATCTCTTTTTATGCTCAAGTACTATTTACATTTTTCCCCAAGGCCTATATGTTTATATTCGTTGCCCATTTTTCTATCTTTTATATCCTTTTCCATTAGTTGACCTGAATATTCATGAGTTAATTCCACACTTTTTAAATTATTGAACTGTTATTATGTGTAATAATTGGCAGGGCTAAATCCTTCCTATTTTCTTTTTTAGAACTTTTCTGGCTATTGTTTTTCCTCACAAACTTTGAATTCAGCTGTCTAATTTGATTAGGCAAAAATCTGTTAATACCTTTTCTCAACTTCACATTTAAGTTAACATAGAATGGACATCTTTATAATTTTGAATCTTTTCATCTTTTTAAGTCGATTTTTGTGTCCTTTTTAGGAAGGGTTTTAAAGTTTTTCACATACAGATTTTTGTTATTTCATGTTACATCTATTTCTGGGTATTTTATTTCAATAGAGAGAATCACTATAGTTAATAGTATGGTGTACATTCTTCTATACTTTTTGTCAACTTATATAAACGACTTAATCTGGTTGTTCTCAAAGTGTTATCTTCAGGGGTTTCTGGGACACTTTCAAGGATTTTGCAAGATTAAAACTATTTTCACAATAATAATTGTAATAACATTATTTTTCTTCTTCACTGAGCCGCCACAAAAACAGTGATGGGTAAAACTGCTAACAACTTAGCATAAATTAAGTCAGTTGCAATAGCTGCAAATGATGCTTATCTTAAAAAAAGCATTTGTACAATTGAATTGTAAATTGATCTAGCTTTTAAAAAATTTGACAAAATCCATATGACAAAATTTACTATTTTAACCATTTAAAGTATATAGTTTAGTGTGGTTTAGTATATAGTTATGTGCTGAATAAGGACATTTCATTTGATCACGAACCACATAAACGATGGTGGTCCCATAAGATTAAAACGAAGGTGAGAAATTTCTATTGCCTAGTGAGGTCAGAGCTTTCATAATGTCAGAGCAAAATTCTACTCTTGTGTTTGTGGTGATGCTGGTATAAACAAACCTACTGTGCTGCCAGTTGTATGAAAGTATAGAACATACAATTGTATACAGTACCTAATATTGATAATGATAATAAGTGACTCTAAAATAACAATAAAGAATACAGGATAGTAAATATTCTTTATTGTTGTTTTAGAGTATATACTCTCTACTCATGCAAAAAAATGTTTGCTGTAAAACCGTATGCTGTGATTCTTACATTCGTGTTTACCATGTCTCTTTTTTTTTGCTACCATGTCTCTTGATTACATCATTTCCCTTGTGCTTGACTTAATCTCATGATGTTTTATAAATTTGGTGTAGCCTAAGTGTACAGGATTTATAAAGTCTATGGTAGTGTACAGTAATGTCCTAGGTCTTCACATTACTCAATACTCACTGATTTACCTAGAGCAACTTCCTATCTAGCAAGCTCTGTTCATGGCAAGTGCTTTATATAGGTGTACTATTTCTTTTTCTTCTTTTTTTTTTTAATTCTCACTGAAGGATATGTTTATTGATTTTTTTTTTTTTTTTGAGAGAGAGAGGGAGTGGAGGGTAGGGAGAGAGACAGAGAGAGAAACACTGATGGGAGAGACAAACATTGATTGGTTGCCTCCCATACATACCCCAACTGGGGATCGAACCTGCAACTTTTGTTGTATGGGATGATGCTCCAATCAACTGGGCAACCCGGCCAAGGTGTTATACCATTTCTTATCTTTTATACTATATTATTACAATGCCTTTTCTGTATTTATGTATGTTTATGTATGTAAATATCTAACATTGTATAACAATAGCATACAGTTTTCAGTACAGTAACATGCTGTATAGGTTTGTAGCCTAGGAGCAGTAAGCTATACCATGTAGCCTGGGCATGTAGTAGTCTGTTCCATTTAGGTTTGCATAAGCGCATTCTATGATGTTCATACAATGACGAAATCACCTGACAATGCATTTGTCAGAATGCATTCTCATCTTAAGCAGCACATGATATGTTCACTATGTTGTTGTGTAACTGAGAAGTAACACCACTAAGAAGTAACTCCCCATTCTGTTCTTCCCCCAGCCCTGACAACCACTAATCTACTTTTCTATTGTGGACATTTCATATTGATAAAAAAAATCATACAATATTGGCCTTTTGTGTCTACCTTCTTTCACTTAGTGTAATGCTTTCAATATTCATGCATATTGTAGCATGTATGGTACTTTATTGCTTCTTATAGCCAAATTATATTCCATTGTGTAGATTACACTACATTTTATTTATCCATTCATCAGTTTATGGACTTTTGGATTTTTCCACTTTTTAGTTAGTATGAGTAATGCTACTAGGAACATCTGTGCACAACTTTTAATGTCAACATGCGTCTCTAGCTACTATTTTTTTATAGAAATCACTTTTACTTTATTAACAAATTGTGCCTTTTAGACTTATTTGGCAGACATTTTCTGAAAATGAACAAAGTGACACCTGATAATATCAGGTGTCAAAGTAAACACCTGATAATATTATCAGTGGTAAAGTTTGAGCTTTCAAGCAAAAATTAGAATTGTGGAAAGATTTATTTGCCACTGTGATTATGACAATTTTCCAGTAAAGAATTTTCTAATGAAATTGTTGATAGTATGAAGAAATATGACTTTTGATAGTGTATAATAAAATGTGTCAACATTCGGGAGGGATGCACAACTCTGTGAACCAACATTCTTCACATCACTGGGGCATAGTACTAGAAAATCACATATAGGTAAAATGTCCATGTAAAGTGCAGGATGGACCAAAATCCTTTTTAAAAGAGCTTTTTGAGGTAAATTTAATTACAGTGTAATTTATTCCTTCTGAGTTCAGTGATTTTCAGTAAATTGACATAGCTGTAACCATTACCTCAATCCAATTTTAGAACATTTACATTACCCCAAGAGGATTATTATGCCAATTTGCAGTCATTGTCCTTTACCATTCCCAGTTCTAGGCAATCACCAATCTACTTTTAGTTTTTTTGTAATATTTTCTGGACATTTCACATAAATGGAATCATACAATATATGGCTTAGCATAATGTTTTTTAGGTTCGTTCAAGTTATGCATATCAATAGTTCAGTGGTTTTTAGTGCTGAAATACTATTCTACTGTATGGATATACCACATTGTGTTAATCCTTTTATCATTTGTTGGTTATTTAGGTTGTTTCTGCTTTGGGGATATTATGAATAATGCTGCTGTGAATATTTGTATGCAGGTTTTTGTGTGAACATATGTTTTCACTTGTCAGGTATAAACATAACAGTAGAATTTCTAGGTCATATGAAAACTCTGTGTTGAATATTTTTAAAATTGCCAAACTGTTTCCAAGTGACTGTACCATTTTACAGTCCCAACTGCAATATCCAAGGGTTTCAGTTGCTCCACATCCTTACTAACAGTCGTTATTGTCTTCTTAACTTGTAGCTTTCCTAGTGAGTGTGAAGCAGTATCTCATTGTGGCTTTAATTTGCATTTCCCTGATGACTAATGATTTTAATCATCTTTTTGTGTGCCTATTGGCCATTTGTATTTCTTTAATGAACTGTTTATTCAGTATTTTGCCCATTTTTAAATTGAACCATTTTCTTACCGAGTTATAACAGTTCTACATCTATTCTAGATAGATGTCCTTTATCACATACACAATTTGCAGATATTTTCTCCAAGTCTGTGACTGGTCTTTTTATTTTCTTAATAGTACTTTGAAATAAAAGTTGAAAATTTTAATGAAGCCCAGGAAAATGCACTTTAATATCACAGAGCATAAAGAGTTCATTAGTGTGGTTTTAGATTCTTATTTCAATTAACCCCTGAGTTGTCAATTGTAGAGATTTGATATAGTATCATCTGAAAAGGCAAATTATTTTTCCATGTTTTTCAATTTCATATCTGTGTGAACCTGAATTTTCTTCATATCTTTCAAACTAAACTACACCTGTTACCAGGTTAAATAAAGAAGGGGCTATGAGAATGCAGGTGTCTTTCATTAAGCCCAACATTAAAGAAATCTACAAAAAGTTGAAACAATACCCCTTGTCATTATTTGTTTTAAAGATATCATTGCTTTTCATAAAAAAAGTTAACCACATCATATGTTTAGTGTTAATTTTAAATCAATTGGATAAATACTTAAAATTTTTTCAGTTTTAATTTCTAATACAGCAAATATCAGTAAGTACAACTCATATAAACAGAAGTTCTTTGAGGTCATTAATAATTCTCAAAAGTGTAAAAGGTTTTTGGGGTTGAAAATAAAGATTTAGGAACTGTTTTTAATTTAACATGCAAATTAGACTCACATAAGACAGCTCTTAATGTGTTTGTAGCATTCCCTTCTGGTTTTCATATAACTTGGTCTTGTTTCTCCACTAAATTGTTAGCTCTTTGAAAGCAGGGAACACATATTTTACTTTTATTTTATTCCTTAGGAGATTATAATTTTCCTTCTGGAATAAGCACTCAAAAGGACTTAACAAGAGATTGAAGTATTTCCCATTGGTTGACCATGTTAGGGCAACATTTCCTGTTGGCTTTAACATAAATAGCTATATTGTTTTCATTCAGGTGGAAGAGCACAATGGTCACATCTTTAAGGCCACTCAGTATAGCATTCCTACATACTGCGAGTACTGTTCTTCTTTGATATGGATAATGGACCGAGCCTCTGTTTGCAAGTGTAAGTATAGGAGATCTTATGTCTTCTTTAACATAAAGGATAAAGTAATACTTCCTAATTCTTTAACCTCACCACTGACTACTTTCTTTTGTCTACTCCTGGTAGCCAAACCAGATATTTTGATGTTCTTTAATCACTGTATTTGCATCTCACTCTATCTGAAATGCTTTTCTTCCAGATGTTGGTAGGACTTACTATTTCAGTTTATTCATGTCACTACTCAAATGCTACTCTCAAATGTTACTTCTTAGAGAACTCTTCTTTTTTTTAATGTAGTTTATTGATTATGTTATTACAGTTGTCCCATTTACCCCCTTTATTCCCCTCCACCCTGTACACCCTCTCCCACCCACATTCCCCCCCTTTAGTTCATGTCCATGTGTTATACTTATAAATTCTTTGTCTTCTACATTCCCATACTATTCTTACCCTCCCCCTGTCTATTTTTTACCTACCATCTATGCTACTTATTCTCTGTACCTTTTCCCCCTCTCTCTTCCTCCCACTCCCCTGTTACTACCCCTTCATGTGATCTCCATTTCTGTGGTTCTGTTCCTGTTCTAGTTGTTTGCTTAGTTTGTTTTTAAAAACAAAAACAAAAATGTTTTATCTGTGGTTGGTAATAATTGTGAGTTTGCTGTCACTTTACTGTACACTTTTTTATCTTCTTTTTCTTAGATAAGTTCCTTTAACATTTCATATAGTAAGGGCTTGGTGATGATGAGCTCCTTTAACTTGACCTTATCTGGGAAGCACTTTATCTGCCCTTCCATTCTAAATGAAAGCTTTGCTGGATAAAGCAATCTTGTATGTAGGTCCTTGCTTTTCATGACTTGGAATACTTCTTTCCGGCTCCTTCTTGCCTGTAAGGACTCTTTTGAGAAATCAGCTGACAGTCCTAAGGGAACTCCTTTGTAGGTAACTGTCTCCTTATCTCTTGCTTCTGGGATTCTCTCCTTCATTTTAATTGTGGGTAATGTAATTATGATGTGCCTTGGTGTGTTCCTCCTTGGGTCCAACTCCTTTGGGACTCACTGAGCTCTCTGGACTTCTTGGAAGTCTATTTCCTTTGCCAGATTGGGGAAGTTCTCCTTTATCATTTGTTCAAATAACTTTTCCACTTGTTGTTCTTCCTCTTCTTTTTCTGGTACCCCTATAATTCAGATGTTGAATGTTTAAAGATGTCCTGGAAGCTCCTAAGCCTCTGCTCATTTTTTGGAATTCTTGTTTCTTCATTCTTTTCTGTTTGGTTGTTTTCTTTCTTCCTTCTGGTCTACTCCATTGAGTCCCAGTTTCCTTCCCATCACTATTGGTTCCCTGTACATTTTCCTTTATTTCTCTTAGTGTAGCCTTCATTTATTCATCTAATTTGTGACCAAATTCAACCAGTTCTGTGAGCATCCTGATCACCAGTGCTTTGAACTGTGCATCTGATAGGTTGGTTATCTTTTCATCACTTAGTTGAATTATTTCTGGAGCTTTGATTTGTTCTTTCCTTTGGGCCATTTTTTTTTTGTCTTGATACATCTGTTATGTAGTGAGGGGCAGAGCCATAGGTGCTCACCAGGGCAGGGCAACCCTCATCAGTGGATTGTGATGCAGTAGGTGGGGAGGGGTCCAAGAGGGAACAGTGGTACTCACTCTACTTTCTGCTGGATTTCAGTCCCTTCCGCCACTTCCCCCAAGCAAACTGGGCCCCTCTTGTGCTGATTCCCAGGTGGGTGGGTTTGTGTACATTTAGAACCCTGTGGGTCTCTCCAACCAACTCTCCTGTGAGGCTAGGAGTCTCTCCCGGAACTTCAGCCCCTACAGGTGTTTTCAATCGGTGTTTTGAGGCTTTATTTCCCTGCGCTGGAACTGTAGGTTGTGAGATCTGTTTCGCTCCCTAGTTTTACCTGGTGTATCAGCCTGCAAATGTGGGACCCCCGTCCACCAGCTGCCTTGTGAGCTGCGCCCCTCCACAATCAGCCCCCTTGCTGGGTTTGCCCGCTGCTGCCTTATACACCTGGGGTCCACCAGTTGCCACTTTGCCAGGAGTCCTCTCCACTCGGCTCCCCAGCTCCTGCCCTCCTGCCAGTGTAGATAAATGTCTATTTTAACTCCTTGGTTGTTGGACTTCCATACAGTTCAGTTTTCTGTCAGTACTGATTGTTTTTTTGTTTCTAAATTTTTGTTTGTTTGGTTGTTTTGGTTGTGCGAGGAGGCACAGTGTGTCTACCTATGCTTCCATCTTGGCCAGAAGTCCTAGAGAACTCTTTTCTTATGTTTCTACCCAGAATGCCATCCTTTTCCTCCTATTCTCTGTCATCCCTATTCAGCTTTAAAAGTCTTCACAGCACTTATTAACCACTCAAGTATTCATTTGTTTTCTTATTAGTTAGAATATATGCTCTATAAGGTTGGGAAACTTACCTGTCTTTTCTGTATCACCAGTGCCTAGAACTGTTCTGGAATATCATAAGTTTTAATAACTATTTATTGGGTAGATGGATGGATGAATTTTCTTAAATTGTATTTATTTATTTTTAAAGCGGGGAAGGGAGGGAGAAAGAGAGGGAAAGAAATATCAGTGTGTGGTTGCCTCTTGTACGCCCCTCTACTGGAGACTTGGCCCACAACCCAGGCATGTGCCCTAGACTGGGAATCAAACCAGCAACCATTTGATTCTCAGGGTGGCACTCAAGCCACTGAGCAACACCAGCTAGGGCTTAATGGGTTAATTAACTAATGAGTTCTTAGATTATAACCAAAAAGGTAACTTTTTGCCCCTGCTGTAATCCTTTCATCAGAACCACATAAATCCTAGAATGAGATTAGAGACTTTTTGCAGGTCAACTTGATTCTGGCTTACAGAGGAACTTTTTCCATTCCTGTCATTCTATGGATCTCCTCTGGTGCTGTCAGCAATTCTGTGAGGGCCTAGTTACTAGTGGGCTAGAACTGAATGATGAAACATTAGGGAGGGCTGGACCTAGTGTGGCAACAGGAAAAGTCCTGTTCACCATAGCCAAATCACCACTATTGGTAGATATGTTCACTTGTGCAGTTGTTTTTCTTTTGTTATCAGTAGTTTGAAAGTTATGGTGACTAATGTTAGTTTGATTCATGTTGGTTTGGTATAATTTTCTCTGTGATTCAAAACTGAAAATGTGAAGAATCTGCTTTTTTATTACTTCGGTGGGCTTGGTTTGATTTTATTTTTTTTGTCCTAGAATCCTCTAATGAATAATCTGTTTTTCTCTTTTTTTAGGTTTGATTTCTTAGTAGAATTACTAACTTTCTTTGTACCTGTACTGGTGATTTCATCAATACAGTGATAGCCTCCTCTACTTGATCTTGGCCTTGAAAACCCACAAGTTTACTATAGAAGGGCACGGTTACACAGTTGTTGATATGCAGGCACCAGAGCTTATATAGCAAAATGACATAGTCCAAGTGTATTCTCAATACCCTCCTCTTGGAGCGCCTCTTCCCAACTGCCTAGGCACCCTGCTATCATCTGCTCTAAGACTTTATTTCTGCTGTGAACCTTTTCTCTATCTTATCTTCCCAAACACATGTTATGTTTTAGTTCTTTAGAGCTCTGTTCTGGACCTTCTAATAAAATAAATAAGACCTTTCTTATACCTTAATGTGCTGTTTAACTTTTTATTTCATTAAGGGTCTTCAGCAGTTATGCCTTTCTTGCCCATTGGAATGATTCCTAATAGGTATTTCTGGCATTTTAGCAGATTATAGAGCAAGTGTATGAGGGGAACATGAACACTAATTTGTGAATGAAACCACAGATATAAATAAATATTCTACTGAAAATATGACAGAGTGGGAGAAAGGTTGGGCAGTCTTGAAAGAATAAAAAATATTTATAAACATTGGTTAGAAATTTTAGGCATGTTTTTCAACTTTATATTTCCAAGTAGAATGGGTTAAATAAGTAAATTAAATCTATAAAGAATGGGTTAAGTTTTTTCTTTCTAGTATTGTACAAAATATATATATATGCAATTTATAGCAGTCTCAGATTTAAAGAAAAAAATTTATATACAAAATAAACTTTTAAATTTCTTATCATTGATGTACAGACTTTTAAAAATTCTGCATTTTAATCTGTTTTTCAGTATGCAAGTATGCTTGCCATAAGAAATGCTGTCTGAAAACTACAGCCAAGTGTTCTAAAAAGGTAAGAAATTAATTTCCTATGAGTAATAATTAACAGATATATTATGGGGGTTTTTTGTGCCTCATGGAAAGAAATCAAGGACTCTTCAATAATTTTATAGAGCAGTAGTTTTCAAACATTGGACCACAAATCTCAGTAAGAAATACATTTTATGTCATGATTCAGTATATACATATATGTATGTACATATACATCTCTCTATGCAACTGAATTGATTTTCCTGGAACCATATTTACCTTTACTACATGGAAGCTACTAAACTGTTTCCCCAACAATTTATTGAAATATTACTTTGAAAGGTTTCCTACTTCATTAAATACTCATAAATCTTCCTAGGAATTATCTTGAAAGTGAAATCTTTACAATTAAAGATTTTAACCTAAACATCAAGATTCACCACATAGTTGGTATTTTTACATATTTCTGCTTGTGAAGCACAGAGAACTAAAAGAGACTACACGTATTTTGGTATTTCATGTTTCAAGGATGCAACCATTTTTGAAGGCTTTCAGGTTTTATTGATGTATAATCACGTTTTAGTCACAGATGACTAACAATACTGTGAAAATCTGAACTATAAATGTGTGTGCATGTTTTTTGTAGCGTATGCATAGAATTTGCAGCAGTTCCAAGTTCATAGGCAAATCATGGCAAAGGACAAAGGAAAATTTCATTCAAGCATTAAAATATAATGTAGGTGGGATATTTGCTTCCAGCTGAGATGGAGTAGCTTGTGATAGACTAATGTCCATGCTGAGAACATTTGAAAGGGTCTGTTGCGAAACATCAGAAAACTGCTCAGGGAAACGGGACTTTAGGGGCCTAGATCCTAGAGAAAAGAGAGTTGTGGAGTGGTAAATCTATATCTATGAGGTGTTTTTCTCCTCATAGGCATAGGGCCACATTTAAGAAACGGAGAAGTCAGGAAAGTTTTTAGGAATCTCATAGGGCTATAAAAACAAAATTTGGAGTCTAGGATTGTCAGAACTTGAAGGACCATGATCCAGACATAGAGAAGTGAGCCTGAAAATCAGAACTTTTCCTCTCGAGGCATTTTCTAAATTAAGTTGCACAGGGCAAAGGGCTAAGGAACTAAATAAAAAAGCAGATGAGAGGGGTTTTTTTCAGTCTCACAGTGCTAAGGAAAGAAAAATTGAGGTTGCGTGATCCACCTTCAAAGTGGAAACATAGTCAGTACTATAAAACTTTCACTAACACCTCTGAAGAGCTATACTCTAGGAAAGGGGGGTAAATCATTGATAGACTGAACTTTATAAAAACTGAAAACAAGCTTTTAAAAAATATATCAACTTAAGGACATTTTTTTTTTCATTGCTTTTAGAGAGAGGGGAAGGGAAAGAGGGAAAGAGAAATATTGATGTGAGAGAGAAACATCAATTGGTTGCTTTTTTGTATACACTCTGACTTGGTATCAAACCTACTGGGAATTGAACCACAAACTTGTGGTCTGCGAGAAGACGCTCCAGCCAACTGAGCCACACCAGCCAGGACCACGCTGTTCTTGATTGGATTGAGATTATCTGTTTCTTATTCTAACTACCTATCACAGTGAATTTTCTCGAGAGAGAACACCATCCAAGCCTTTGCAATTTGTTCATATGTAATATGAGACTAAGAAGAAAACAAGTAGACAATTTCAGTAGACTCAAAGATGATCCAGTTACTGAAGTGTCAGACATGTACCTAAAACTTTTTGATTAGTATGTTCAGATAATACGTAAAAAGATTTTAAAAAATTGTCTATTAGAAAATAGACAATTAGACAATAGACAATCTAAATGAAAAAATAATTCATGTAAATATATATTTATTCAAATGGAAATTCTAAAAATAAAAAATGGAACCCAATTTATAAAACTTAAAAGATAGGTTTAAAAGCATATTAGCTGATTTAAGGAAATCAACTCCAAGATGGTAGTATAGGCAGACATGGCTCACCTATGCAAACAACCACATCAGAATTACAACTAAATATAGAAAAATCATAACTCAGAGGCGCCAGAAATCAAGTTGAATGGAAGTGTGACAACTACAAAATCGAGTTGAATGGCAGTCTGATAAATAGAGAGTGAAAGAAACCATCCATCCAGACTGGTATAGGAGGGACACAGATGCAGAATGGGATGGTCCCACACCTACGTGTGGATAGAAATTTGGGAGGGATATCTTGGGAATAAGGAGTCCCAGCCTAGGGCTTCAGTGCCAGGAAGATAAGTCCCCATAAATTTTGGCTGCAAAAACCAGCAGGGATTGAGTTGGTGGAAGAAACTTGTGGAGCCCCAAGCAGTTCCTCCTAAAGAACTCACACATGGACTCACCAACTCAGACTTACTCCCTCTGAGCTCCAGCACCAAGGTAGCAGCTTAAAAAGCACCAGTGATATACAGGGAGCAACTGAAGTGTCTGGCATCAAAGGGAGCAGGAGCCATTGTCCTTTTTCTAAACCAACCACCACCCCCAACAGAGCCACCAAGCTGGAGATCTATTTCACCCACCTTAGAGATACCCAGGGACTCTGCGCCACTCAACTTACTGGCCCACCCAAGCTGCTTTGCCATATGAATGACTGGTCTTGGCTCAGGCTCCACAACTTCCTATATTCTATCAAACAAGCAACAACTGGCTTCAGTGAGTCCCAGCCCCAGCACTAGCAACAGTCAGTTTAAATTCACAGCTTGGCTTTACCTGGGAATCCCAAAGCCCAGCACAAGTAGCAGCCATCTCAGATTGTGTTATAGCTCAGATTTTGTTATAGTCCTGGGCAAAATAGAGGTGAGATCTGACATTGGCCTGCACAGCTGATCCTCCACAGAGGCCAGAGGTTGGTGGTCAGTGGTCAATGCCAGTCCTTGCAGCTAACTGGCCTGCAGTTTAGTAAACCCCTTCCACTGATGTGCCAACAGCAACCATGGCTCCACTTCAAGAGGAGGGTATACTGAGGCCACACAAAGGGCACACCTCAAGTACCAGCTTGGGTAATAGGGGAGTCTGTGCCACTGGGCCCTACAGGACACCTACCACTTTAGGCCACACTACCAAGACATGGAGTCAGAGCTGCTCTACCTAATACATAGAAACAAACACAGGGAGGCTGCTAAAATGAGGACACAAACACGGCCCAAATGAAAGGACAGATCAAAATTCCAGAAAAACACCTAAGCAAAATGGAGATAAGCAATCTCTCTGATGCCGAGATCAAAACACTGGTTATGAGGATGCTCAAGGAACTAAGTGAGGACTTCAGCAGCATTAAAAAAATCCAATCAGAAATGAGGATACACTGATTGATATAAAGAACAATTTACAGGGAAACAGTAGAATGGATGAAGCTGAGAATCAAATCAATTGATTTGGAACATAAGGAAGTAGAAACCAACCAATCAGAACAACAAGAAGAAAAAAGAATCCAAAAAAAAATGAGGATAGTGTAAGAGCCTCTGGAACAACTTTAAGCACAACAACATTTGCATCATAGGGGTGCCAGAAGAAGAAGAGAAAGAACACGAAATTGGAAATCTATTTGAAAAAATAATGAAAGAAAACTTCCATATCTTGCTGAAGGAATTAGACATGCAAGTCCAGGAAGCACAGAGAGTCCCAAACAAGATGGAGTAAAGAGGCCCACTCCAACACACATCATTAAAATGTCAAAGGTTAAAGATAAAGAGAGAATCTTAAAAAAAAGTAGCAAGAGAAAAGACCTTAGTTATCTGCAGGGGAGTTCCTGTAAGACTGTCAGCTGATTTCTTGAAAAAAATTTTGAAGGCTAGAAGGGATTGGTAAAAAATATTCAAAGTCGTGAAAAGCATGGACCTACTGCCAAGATTGCTCTGCCCAGCAAAGATATCATTTAGAATCAAAGGGCAGATAAAAAGCCTCCCAGACAAGGGAAAAACTAAAGGAGTTTATCATCATGAAACCATTATTATATGAAATGTTAAAGGGACTTGTTTAAGAAAAAGATCAAAACTATGAACAATAAAATGGCAAAAAATACATATTTATTAACAATTGAATCTACAAAAACGAACTAAGTGAACAAGGAGAACAGAGACAGAATCATGAATATGGAGAACTTTTTGATGATTGCCCTATGTGAGTGGGGTAGAGGATTAAGAAGTACAAATAGTGCCCTCCTGGCACAGAAGTAGCACGTCTGACTCCAAGAAGTACAAATAGGCAGTTACAGAATAGCCATGGGGGGATAAAGTACAGTATAGGAAATGGAGTAGCCAAAGAACTTACACACGTAACCCATGGACCTGAACAGTGGTAGGGGGATTGCCTGAGGGAGTGGGGGTATGCTGGGTGAAGGGAGGCTAAGGGGAGAAATTTGGGAAGACTGTAATAGCATAATCAATAAAATATCATTTAAAAAAGTAGAAAAATAAAAGCGTTTTAGCCATGGGAGAAGAAAAGATGACTAAACTGATAGGTAGGTCAGTAGAACTATCTAAGCATGGAGAGCAAGAAGGATGGGTAAATATGGAAATCAAAATCAAAGATGTGGGAAAGGATAAAAGGTTCTTAAATGTGTGATTGCAGTCCAGAAAGAAAGGGATAATGTGCAACACATCAAATCAGAGGCTTATGAACCATTTTTAACCTAAATTGGAATAAATATAAAGAAAACCATACCAGATGCCCAGTATTGTAAGTGAAAGAAAGAGAAAATTTTTTAAAAGCAGTCGGGGGAAAAAAATAAACATTACCCAATTGAGCAATGAAAGACTGACAACTGACTTCTCAGCTAACATAATGGAAGCCAAAGACAGTGACTTGGCATATTTTATGTGTTACAAGAAAATAAAGCTAACCCAAAATTCTGTACTCAGTGACAGTGGTCTTCAAAAGTGAAAATGATGTGAAGGCATTTCCAGATGAACAAAAACTGAGAATTTGTCACCAGCAGACCTGCACTAAAAGATATACTAAAGGAGGTTCTTCAGGCAGAAGAAAATTATCTCAGCTGGAAACAG